AACACACAAGAACATTTCATCTGCCAGCCTGCAGTGGAGACCACGTAGTTAATAGTTTGCAACCCCCTTTCCCCCAGAAGATCCTCAGAGTTGAGTAATAAAATTCCTCACATGATTTCAATGAGAGGGTTCACTTGTCAGGGGCTGTTTCGAGATAGTATCGTATGTCAGGGAGGCGCTCACTCAGATCAAGTTTTCCAACCTTGTGTTTTCAAGGCTTCGCCGAAAATGAATTAAAAAAAAACACAACACAACTTAAAAACAAACCTCCAGGCTCTAAAGTTTGAAACTGGAGGAAAGAGAAATAATCTCTAGATGTTATTTGCAAAATGTGAAAGCTGGCCAATTAATGAGGGGAGGAAGAAAAACCCTGATTTAAGCCCTGGCAAAGCCCCGAGATCACAGACTGATTACGAGTCCTGCCGCTGACTCCGTGCAGGAGCCCGGGCAAGTTAATCCCTCTACACCTTGGTTTGCCACCTGCCAGATGAAAAATAACACTTTCCTTTCATATCCTGTCATTCCTGCTCGTATTGTTCCCCGAATTAAAAGCATTTGTCAAAACACTTATCTTTAGCATTAACGCTGGGAACTGCATTCACAGCCTCCACACGCCCCGTCTGCATGACTGAGTGCTCACAACACAAACTCTTCCCACACTTTGCTCCCCAGCCATCCTCATTTACACAGGAGCCAGAAGGGAGCTTTACTCAATATGGGAATATTAGGATGATAAACACAGTTTATTACTAACCTTATGTATGAAACCAGCTTTAGAAATACAAGTTAGACGCCCCCCAAAAAAATCAAATTCTCCTTGTTATCTCCCAAAAATCCCACTGTAATCACAGTATCAGTCTCACTGCATTGATAACCCGCAAGATCACGTTATCAGCACAGGTATAATTAAAGCTCAATCCCACAAGGACATGGATGCAAAATCCAATCCCTGCTCTGCTAAAATCAGTATAACACGGAATCAACTTCAGGGACTTCAGAAGTGTCAAAGCTGCACAAAGTTATCGACAGGAGGAACAAAGGCATCTCTTTTTCTGCAGTAAGATTCCTAACCTGACAGCATTTTGATTTCAAATCCTAAACTTTGAAGAAGATGAAAAATATTTGCCACAGAATCCCAACACCGTAACGTGTCATTCCGCAATGTCCCTAAAAGCTCTGCACAGAAATCACTGTGAAGCTCAAGCTGCTTTCCTTAGATTAAAATGAGCTGTTGTTCCATGAAAATTGATTTATTTTCTAGCATATAAACCCAAACATCTTCAGAGATCCCTCGGTGAAAGGGACAGCACAGCCTCCTCTCTCATGGCTCAGTTTCATTAATTCCTCCAGTTCCCCGCCCAAAGACCCAAATTTCACCACTGCCCCACTGACACACAACAAAAAAAAAGAGCAGTCCCAGAAGTTAACAACAGAACAATTCCTGACAGTCACGCTCATTAAGAATTCATTTTATTAAAAATTAAATTAGCTTTAAAAGTGAATGTCAGAACCCCACTGTTTTCCCAGCTCCAGACAGCGATGAGAAAACATACCAAACACTCCCATGAACTTATGGATTATCACTATAAAGTAAACACTTCACAATAATTTAATTTTCAAAACACTGGACAGCCTTGAACTTTTAGTATCTTTTTAAAAGAGACCAGTATGACTCACGCTGAAACTGCCTTAAAAATAAGCTTTCTGCAGCCGACACCGGGCACTAATTCCATGGGACTATCAGAACCACAATTCTAGAGAGATGCACGTTGTCTAGAAAGGTCAACAAATGAAAGGAACTGATTGAGACTGCTCAGCAAAGCAGTTCTAGAGACAACCAGGCCTCATCCACGCGGGGTTTTTCTTCCAGGTTTCCTTACCCCTCCCTAAAAATCCTGCTGTTTCACCTAGGATAGCATTCCTGTAACCCAGCTGGCAGCCTGCACGCCACAATGTCGTCTAGACCTGCTCCCAACAGTGGGATGACACAGGAGGAAAAACGCTGATGCCTGTGCTGGAGCGAAGGGGAGGCAGCACAGGCTGAGTGAAACACGAGTTCCTTGTTCCCAGCCTCATGCCCAGGCTCGTCGGGTGATTCTGTCAACCAGACACAAAAAAGTTGTGGCCGTCGTGGGGGTGAAGAATAATCCTCACAAAAAAAGGGGAAAGGAGCTTTCCCAAACCTCCCCCGTTTTCACCTGCAGAATCAAAGCCTGCCCCTCTCCGAGCCCTCCGCTCTCAGGACACGCAGACAACAAACACATCCCTGCACAGACAACATTTTCCAACATTTTCCATCCCTTTCCTCCGTCCTTCCTTCTCCCCTGTCTGCATCTCCAGCAATTTGGGAGAGAAATGGCAAAAAGGGAGATGCAAAACACAGAAATAAATTAAGTTTGTTCTCCGCTGTTGACGGATTTGGTCCTACCACGACAAGGAGGGGAAAAAAACCCAAACGTTAGGAGTGATAAATCCATATATACCTACTCCAAACTACACCCCGTTTCCCAAGGGACACGGTATAATGGTAAATAAATATAGATGCAGCTCCTACTAATGAGGCCGGGTACAGCAAGGCCAAGGAAAATGCAATCATCTCGGGGAAAAAAAACCTGCACAGGACTCCTCCTCTCCCATCCACGGAGGAAATCAAATGCCAGCTGCACCATCCCAGGAAGGAAGCAGAGCCTGTACCTGATGAGCCCTGCAGAAATGAGCGAGTCATATCACGGGACTTCAGGCTTTCGTCTGCAGAGCACAATTCCTCGCTCCGGTATTTTACGTGGCATCATTCATGCAAATTGTAGGGTTGGATTGTTGGGGTTTTTTTCACCGGTTTTCTTTTTTTTTTTTTTTTTCCCCCCCACCTCCATCCCCACTAGTTTGAAGCAGGAGCACGTAGGTAGTGTCTCTGAGATCCGCTCTCTGAAACGCGTGCCTTCCCATCAGTTTAACACTTTCCTCCCTATAAAGTTTAAATCCTCGCAGTTTTTGTTCTTAAACGTTCTGTACTCAAAAGCCACCGAGTCACACTCCCAGTGTTACTTGAGCAGAACAAATTGAGAGAGACCTGACTCCGCAAACGTGCTTAAACCTTCATTTCCTCTTCCTTCTTCCTTCCCCACCCCCAAAAAGAGCATTTGTTTTTTCTGTCCCCAGCACGAAGGAACTGGGAAAAAAAAACCAGCACATCCAAGCAAGGCTTTTCCAGACCTATCGCAAAGAACGAAATTCTTCCGAAGAAGTGCTTTGCAAACATACCAAGAAACACTCTAACAACTGGGGAAAAAAAAGAACCCATCAGACAAAACTGAGGTCGAAGAACTCGGCGGGGTCTGGCTCGGGTGTGTGTTCTGCACCTAAATACGCTCGGCTCTTGTTTAGTTTTAACCCCGGAGCAGAGGAAAACACTTCCAGCAGAATTCCCGGCCGCTTCCCCCCGACCGCTCCTGCGGTCAAAAACACTGTTCTGTCCCCCCACCCCTCCAAAAAACCCACAAGATCCCAAGCATGGCTACAAAAGCATTTACCCCACACCCACACACCTCTTCCCAAGAAGTGCAAAATAAACAAGCGTCTGACACCCCACCCAAGCTCTCCTTGCACATTTTGGGAATGACTTCCCTCCGAGTCCTCCTCCTCCCCCCAACAAACCCGTCCCCATGTTAAAACTCTCCAGCAATCAGACACCTTTTTCGGGTTCACGCCTTTGCCCTCCCCGAAAACCCTCCCCAAAGACCCGGGAGCTGCAAGAGATCCCGCAGCCAGCGGGGTTTGGGGCAGCCCCGACCCCCCGTCCATCCACATCCACAAAGCTCCCAAAAGGAGCCCCCCGAGCCCTCGCACAGCCCCCTCCCAGCCAGGGCAGGGATCTGACGAGGGGGATTCCATCCCCGCAGGGTCAGAGCCTCTCCCTCCTTCCCCGGCCGGGGGTCGCACCAGCCCAGCCCCAAACTCCGCGGCGAACAAACCCTCCCAAACCCCAGCACCCACCCAGGCTGGGGAGGGCTCCGCGGCCGCCGCCGCCCCGTGCCCCCCGCACCCCGGAGGAGACGGGAGGAATCCGAATAAATAAATAAGCGGCAGGAACAGCGAACCCCAAAGCTGCCCTGCCCTCCCGCAGCAGCTTCCAGGAGACACCTTCCTCCTCCTCCTCCTCCTCCTCCGCGGAGCCCCCCAAAGCCGCGGCTCCAACTCCGCCGCCCGAGCTGAGGGGCTGCCCCTGCCCACCCGCGGCCGCCCCCGGGTGCCCCCCTCACGCACATCCCGCTCTCCGGCTCGGCGCGACTCCCGGCGCTGCCGGGAGGGAGGTCCCCTTCCCGCTGCCCTCCCTCCCTCCCTCCAGCCCACCCACCCGCCCGCCCCCTCCCTCGCCACCGCCGCTCCCCCCTCATCTCCCCCGTCCACACTCACCTCTGGGTGCTGCCGGCGCCGCCGCCTCACCATGGACCGGCGGGACTGGGGAGTCCCCCCGCCCGCCCCCGCCCCAGATTGAGGGGGATTAACGGGGGCGCGGAGGGCGAGAACAATAAGGGGAGGAAATCCCTCGGCCCCCGTCACCCCCCAAGAGGACACGGCCCCTCCCCTGCCAGGCGCTCCTCCTGCCGCTCCCTCCTCCTAGCCCGCTCCCTCTCTTTTTTTTTTTTTTTTTTTTCTGGTGTTGTTTTTTTTTTTTTGGCTCAATCACACCAGACCGACTGTCTTTGTCTGTCTGACAAGCGCCATGTTGATATCAACATCCGAGCCCCCACCTGCTGCAGCTGTGAGACCCTGGGACTTGTAGTTCCCCCCTCCCCAGGGTGACAGGGAGACCCGCGGCGCCGGGACTACAACTCCCGGCGTGCCGCGGGCGCGCGGCGCGCCAATGGGGCGGCGGGGCTGATCGCGGGGCGGACTACAACTCCCGGCGTGCCTCGGGGGGAGGCCATGACGTTGTGCAGGGCGGGGAGGGCGGCGGGACTACGATTCCCGTGATGCCGCGGGGTGCGACGGGCCGGGCAGGAAGGGGGGGGGGGACAGGATTGTCCCGGTAAATAGGACCGGGGGACGCGATGAAGCTGGTGAGTGCCTGAGGCGGGGGGCGGTGAGGGCAGCGAGGGGGGCTCGGCCTTCCCCCGGCGGCGTGGGGGAACCAGGATCGCCTCTGGGCTGCGCAGCCTCAGCCCCGCCGGGCGTGAGGGAAACTGAGGCGCGGGGGTGGGGGGCGGCCCTGAGGGAGGTGGGGGTGGGTGATCCTGAGGGGAGGGGAGAGGCTGAGGAAGGGGGGTGTGATCCTGAGGGGAGAGGCTGAGCTGGGGGCGAGGGGTGATCCTGAGGGGAGAGGCTGAGGAAGAGGGGTGTGATCCTGAGGGGAGAGGCTGGTTTTTGGGGCGGGGGGTGATCCTGAGGGGAGAGGCTGATGTAGGGGGGTGTGATCCTGAGGGGAGAGGCTGAGGAAGGGGGGTGTGATCCTGAGGGGAGAGGCTGAGGAAGGGGGGTGTGATCCTGAGGGGAGAGGCTGAGGAAGTGGGGTGTGATCCTGAGGGGGAGAGGTTGAGATGAGGGGGGCATGATCCTGAGGGGAGGGGAGAGGCTGAGGAAAGGGAGGCGATCCTGAAGGTGAGGGATGTTGAGTGGTAGGGGGGATGGAAGTCTGGGACTGAGGGACGAGGATATTGGATGGAATCAAGTATCGGCGGGATTGAGGAGGAGGAGGAGGTGTTTGTCAGCCTTCCTGCCCTTAAACACGAGCCTGGCGTGGAGCTTTCCACGTGTGGCTTGTGCTGGGCTCTGCCAGCAGTGGGAATAAACCCCAGTGGTTCTTAATAAAGCCGTTTTCCATCGGTACTGTGATAGTACAGGTAGTAGGTAATAAAAAAAATCACCCTGGAACAGCTTTGCCAGGGGTGCACTTCGCTCCTGACAAGGATTTTGGTTCTGATATTGCAGTGTTCTGTCAGAAAATACATTACCCGTGTTATTGGTGTGTCTCAAGATCTCCCTCTTTAACCGTTTAATCTTCCTACAGACCTTGGGTTCAGGCAGTACTTTATTTTCCAGGAGGAATTTCTGTTTCACATAATGTGCTGCAGTTCTTGGTCTGGAGGTGAAAACCCAAGCAGGTTTCAAAATACAATAACATTAGATTTATTTAACCTGAAATTATACACTGTTATTCAATGTGAAAATTGTCTCTCGGTTTCGAGACTGAGCAGTGTGTTTTGACAAAGCCTCATACAAGTGAACTTGGATTTTGAGCTGTCTTGAGACTTCCAGGAAATCTCTATCTGTGTACAATTAATTCCATGGGCAGGTGGGCAAAGAGCTTGATCCTGTGTCATCTTACCTGTGGGATAAATATATTGGTGAATATCGTAAACACTGCAAAGCCAAACACCTCTGGATGGGATTGCAGAGACTGATATAGTTCAGTGGGAAAAAGCAAACCAGGAAATCTTTAAATAAAAACCACAGTGGAAATGCAGAACTCTTTTAGTGTTTAGAGTCTTGCACCGAGGCAGAGAGAGGGAAGGGGCTGGGAAGGGAATTACAGCCTTGTCTGTATTGGAGCATTTTTAGACCCGTGTATCAATTTAGGGGCTGGGAAGTATAAGGTCAGATTCTTCACCTTATGTTTTTCCAGAGGTGTGTCTGAATCTCAGGATCGTGTGAGGAGGAATGGGTGTTTTTCATCCTCTTTTCTCATAGATGTGGGTTGAATTTGGAATATCAGGGTAGAGGTGATGGATTGGTGGAACGTTCCCTGTCCGTGGCTGGAACGAGAGGATCTTTAAGGTCCCTTCCAACCCAAACCATCGTGAGATTTTTGTGACTCCAGACCTGATTCGGAATCCAGTGAAAGTGTCAGACTCCCAAAAATTCAAATGTGCTTTGGCCTGGGCAGTTCCAGTTCCTAATTTCCTCCTGGATTTTCAGCTGCCATGCGATACTAATACTGGAGGAATGCACTGCAGGATTTGTTGGCTTCAGCTGGAACTCAGAGCACTTTTTAACCTGCACAGTTTTGAGTGTTTTGGAGCTGGGGGTGTCAGCCATCATCTCTGTCTGCTCTGTCATCCATGAGGTCACCAGGGATGCTCAGTGGGAAACAGATTCCTGTGGAGAACCTGCCTCTCCGAGGGCCTGAGCATCTGGAATTAACCCCTCAGTTTGTGTTCCCTGTGCCTCACTGTCAAACTTCCATCTGATTTACAAACCCTGCTGGGAAAGTTCTGAGCTGAGCTGGGCGTATTTTGTGTGGTTTGTGCCTTTTTTTACATGATTTTTTTAGTCAGGAGATGAGGCATTTATGTGTTGCCTGCACCAGCCTTTAGCTGTAAGGGAATGAAGCTGGAAGCACACAACTCCTGGAGCAAAAGAGCTTGGATTTTAGTCCAGTCAGGAACACGACTGGGATCTCTGGATCTGTTTTAAACAGTAACAAGTATAAACTGTGGAAATAACCACATTTTTAATGTGTACAGGGACATACAGAGTGCAAACACTCCAATTGTTGGATTCCTAATCTGAAATTCTAACAGAGGTGCAGGCCCAGAAATGTCACCTGTGCAAACAGCTGTATAGAAAATATGAATTGCCTTTTTTATTTTTCTGTCACTTTGCTTGAAGCTGGTGGGAAGAGTCCATTGATTCCCAGGAATCCATTTACCACAGCGTGACAGCCACAGATAGAGATGATTTTAGCTGCTTGTAAAGAAGGAAAAAGGAAGATTTCCCAGTTAGCTTATAGGTGTCAGGGTTGTGAACCTGCTCGTGGTTTTTAAAAAAAGGCAAGAAAATGTTTTGCTGATAAAAGTGCTGATATTTCATTGCCTTTTTTAATTACCAATAGTTTAAAAGCTACAAAAATAGAACTTATTTTTCCCTTCATTTCTTTCTATTTACTTGGATTTAGAGCTTCAGTTGTCAAAGTTCTGCTCTGGTGAGAACTTAATTTCACAGGAGTATATTACATTTGTGACTAAACCAACTGAATTCCTTACTTGTATCCTCACTCCTTCACCAGCTTGTTATTTTTAAACTTTGCTGAAAGAAAGGCAAAATGTGATGTAGCTCCTTCATAATTAAGGCTTTGTGAATTTAAAACGAAAGTCTTTGTGATATTTGAAATTTAATATATGGGACTTAGTAGCTTTTTAATATTTAAATATAGTTTAAAGCAGGTTTTTGTGGAATGTATGTAAATAGACTCCTTGGGAGCTGTTAATCCAGACAGTTGCAGTCCTGGGTTACCATATTGTGAGCAGAGGTTCAAAATGAAATGATTAATCTCCCTCCTTTCCACTCGGTAGAGGGAAGTACAGAACTCAAGCCTGTGGGATAAATGACTTAGAAAAAGACCGACTCTGTTTTTCCTCCCGTGCATGGCCAAACAAGTGGTATTTTTTTCACCTTAATTGACCAAAACTTGAATTTAAAAGCTCAAGTTTGACCGCCTGAGCGTGGCTGAGCTGCCAGATGGCCAGACTTGGGAGAGATTCCAGGTGAAAATTCCCTCCTCCAAGCAGAGAAGCCCTCCCGCAGAGGTGGCCACGCTCTGCTCAGACATTTACAGTTTCTAACCCCGCATTTAAAGCCGACCTTACTGTTCTCTTCTTATTCAAAGCTCCTGTGCCTCGTTAAATGTTTGTCACTCCAGACAGGAGGCGGCTGCATCTCAATGATGCTCAAGTGCCCCCTACATAACCTGCTCACCGGCTCATTAAGCTTCCAAAGCCTTCGGGATTTGGCTACACAAACCCTTCCATTCAGGTGGGGTTGTCCGGTCCCTTCTGCTTCCTGTTTGTGTTTAGCAAGACAAAAAGCAGGTGAGAACTTGCCCCAGAGCTGCTGCACCTGTGCAGGGTTGTTTTTAGACAGGTTTCTTACAGAAAAAAAACCTCTTGTGTTTCTGCAGGAATTCTCTCCCTCCCTGTCCACTCTGAGTAGTTTTCAAATTTTCTCGCCAGGCTTTGCCGGTAGGACTGAATTCTGAAGAAACTGATTTCCTGGGATTTGGGGGAAAATTGGGGATTGCTAGAAAAAAAGAGATTCCACAGGTGTCTTAAATCAGAGAGGGGAGCTTTGCCATCCTTTTGCTCAACCCTTGGGAGCAGAAAAACTGCCTGAAGAAAATCTGCCCCTTTAATACCCTGCCATGGGGAAATCTCTGTGAGCACACACTCTGTGAGGCAGATCCATGGGAAATGGGATTTTGTTCTGTTGTGTAGGACACGGTGTGTGAAAACAAGGGGAGAAAGATGTCTGGGGGGAGTGGTGTTCACTCTGTTCACAGAATCACTGAGGGTGGAAAAGACCTCTGGGATCACCGAGTCCAACCTGTGACCATCCCCACCTTGTCCCCCAGCCTAGAGCACTGAGTGCCACATCCAGTCCTTCCTTGGACACCTCCAGGGGTGGGGACTCCACCACCTCCTTGGGCAGCCCCTTCCAATGCCTGACCACCCTTTCCAGGAAGAAATTGTTCCTGATGTCCAACCTGACCCTCCCCGGCACAGCTGGAGGCCGTTTCCCCTTGTCCTGTCCCTTGTTCCCTGGGAGCAGAGCCTGATATCCCCTGGCTCCCCCCTCCTGTCAGGGAGTTGTGAGAGCAAGAAGGTCCCCCCTGATCCCTCTTTTCTCCAGGCTGAGCCCCCCCAGCTCCCTCAGCCAACTCCTGCTGCTCCAGCCCCTTCCCAGCTCCGTTCCCCTCCCTGCACACGCTCCAGCCCCTGGAGCCCAGAACTGGACACAGCACTCGAGATGTGTCTTCCCCAGTGCCCAGACAGAGGGGAAGAAGGTCGTGCTGGTAAAGATCATGACTAACTCCTCATTCTTTTTCAGTACTGCCTGTCAGGACATCCCACCTTGCCATGCAACGTGCTCAAGTTCAAATCCACCACCATCATGCTGGACTGTGGGCTGGACATGACGTCCACCCTCAACTTCCTGCCATTGCCTCTGGTCCAGAGGTGAGTTCTGTGGCCTGTCAGCACTTAAAGTCTGTGCCTTCTTGGGTTGCAGTTGGAGTGCTCTGCCTGAAATGGGGTATTGGAAGGAGGGAGGAGATGGGTACAAATGAACAGCATCATCTGATATCATAAATAGACTTTGTTCACTTAAAAATTCTCTTTATCAAAATAACGTCCTTTGGCTCGGTAGACGGAAGACATTTTATGGATTTATTGATTGGTTTTTCTAGATAATTTATTCTAAGCTTCAGTAAAGTATTGCTGCAACTGCTCAGCACAAGTGAGGTCACATATCTGTCATCTTTCTGGCTTCTTCATGCAAGATGAGATAAATGGGTAACAGAGATGGAGTGTGTGGAGCCCAGTTCTGTTCAACCACCACCTTCTCAGGCTTTTCTTGGAGCACGGACTAATGCAAAGAAAAATAGCACTTAGCAGTCCTTGTTAGTTGCCTCCTTGGCATAATTGTTCCCTTTTGAAAATGAAATAAATAAAAGGGCAGTGCAGCTGGGCAGAGGATTGGAACAGCAGGGAAAGGGAGTCTAGAAGACAATCCTGAGATCAAGACTCCTTCCATGCCCTGCTACAAAGTTGTATTTCCCCGGGTTTTTAGATCAATTTGGATATTCAGTTGGGATGACTGATGCCTTGAGTAAATGGAATCAATGGCAAAAATTAACAGCTGAAGAGGTGGGAATGGGTAACTCTTAGTGATGGGAAGCAGTGGGAATTTTCTCAAAAGCCATCCAGTAACTTTGATCCACGAGGAAACGAGTGAGGAACGTTCTGGGTTCAGAGGAGGCTTGATGGAGAGGGGGAAAACATGATTGGGAAAGGGAGTTTCCTAATGACCTAATGAGGTTAAAGCAGTTTGTCCAGCACTTCCTATGATTTGTTATTTTTTGGAGAGGAGAGGAAAAGAATAGACAATGTCTGCATTGTTCTGCAAGAACGTGGAGTTCAGGGGCTGCTGTAGAAAGGCAACAGATGCCTTAAGAGGGATCAGTGTGATAGCTGATTTTTGTCCCGTTCCATAATGCAGTTGTTGGCTGCAACATGTACTGCTGGGGCACAAGCAGAGCTTGAAAGGATCCAGAAAATTTGGGAAATCCAGGTACAGACAGAATCACCTTGCATTCGCTTTCACCCACCCCCCCAAATAAAAAGGAAGTGGAGGTAGGAACAAGTAGCAAAATGAGGTGATTGAACAAAGGCTTAAGAGGTTCTTTAGAACGGCAGGAATCAGCACTCCCTGGGGATATGCCAGCTTTGTCTGCTGATAGCAGACCCTGGGAATGAACAGCCAAATTGCAGGTCACAACCTGGAATTCCCCAAGTACCTCCAGAATGTCGGCACTAAAATGACTCAAACTCAATAAGAAAGGATGTCAGATTTGACCCCTGATGGCCCAGTGGAATCGGAGCAAACAGTTGGATTTAAATCCAATCAATCTTGTCGGTGAGGTGATTGAACAGCCCTTCCAGCGGGGATTGTCCTGAGCACATGGACTTGGGCGAGTAATTGATCTCTGCAGTGCTCTACAAACCAGGTGTCCTGCGGAGAGTGGTGCAAGTGAGTTAGAAACTTGAGCAGGAACGTGGCTGCCACTGGAAAGCCCTTATCTCTCTGCAGTACTCAGAGTTGTACCTTCACAGATCAGGTGTCTGTGTCTAAATACATCTGAAATTCCAATGTGCATTATCAACACAACGTGGGCAGGTGACAGAGAGGTGACACTGCCGTGCGTATCCTGGTGAGAGATGACAGGAGGGACTGACCTGAGGAATCTGAGCACAGGTCAGTCAGATCTGAGCTGTGTGTCCTCTCAGAACCAGCTGTGCTAATCTGAGGTGGGCCTGTGTGAAACCTTCATCAGAGAGGAGCCACACTTCTCTCTGCTGCTTCTAATCCAGAGATCTCCAAAGAGTGACCCATGAACTGCTTGGGCTCTGCAAGCCTCAGCCCTAATTTTTACCTCTGTGGAGCACAAAGGAATGATGTGACAGAGGATCTTTGCTATGCAGCTCAGTCCTGTGTCACACCTGCCATGGGACCCTCCTTGAGCAAACATTTGGAGAGCAGGTACTTTAATCTCTGAGAGAGGGAAGTGCTGCGGCGTTTGTGGCATGAAAGGGACGGGACATTTTTTAGAGTTCTTTCCTCTCCAAAAAAAAAAAAAAAAAAAAAAAAAAAACAAAGCCCATCCAAAGGTGTTTAGATTCCCCCTTGCCCTGGCAGTGGCAGTCCCTGTTCTCTCCAGCCCGTGGGGCACGTGCAGGGCACCTGCAGTTGCCAAACGCTTTGTGCCCTCTCGTGTACTCCGAAGGAGGTTTTGTCAACCGGAATTCTCTCCCCTGCGCCAAAGTCAAATGCAAAGCGGTAAAATGAACATGTGGGAAGCTCTTAACCTTTCCTGTCTAGCCATGACACACTTGCTCACATTATTTATGGGACAGTTCCAGCTATTTTGGATTAATCAATCACTCTATTACAATGTCAAAACTGTGTCGGCAGGAGCTGTGTTGCTTCTTGGCTTCAAGGTAAAGAGTCCTTTCTGTCCTGTGTTGTTCATTCCACTTCCAGCCACACGCAAAACCCATCTGCTGATTTTGCCTCCCCTGACAAGACCTTACCCTCCTCAGTGGATGCCAGTTTAGTACAAGTCAGTAGTGCTATTTCACTGTAAACAAAGCAAAACTCACACAAGGCTAAATTATGAGGACTAGGGCAAGAATGTCAGGGAAAGTTTATTCCTCTCTGCCTCGTGCTGGTGATAGCACAGATAGATCCAGGGATTGGCAAGGCACAGCTGGACAAAGCCAGCCTGACCTGACCTAGTCATTGGGACACTGGACTGCAGACCTCCAGATGTCCCTTCCAGACAAGGTTTCTCTCCTCTCCTCCTGTATCTGTCAAAGCTGTTGCATATCAGAGGGGTTTGTTCCTGCTTTTTCCATAGCTCTTTCAGTCTCACTTCACCAGTTATCCTCAGCCCCCTCAGTCTCCAAATTACTGCTCCTAAATTGTGCTTTTGAAGGTGTTGGTGGGGAGCACGTTCAGCCACTTCATCTTTTCTGTCATCACACTTCTTCAGACTTAATCCTCAAAATGGGACACACTTTTCTGGCACAGCTTCTCCATGACATATCCTCCTACTCTCCCCTCTTCCCTTCTGTCATCACTTCTTGAGTCTTGGATTTCCCCTTTTTCCTTCCTTGGGACCTTCTGGGGTGTCAGTTAGAATTTGTTCCTTCATATCCACGTTAATCTGAACACAGCATTCCTCTGAGCCCTCGAATCACTTCCTATTTTCAAGATGTTTACTTTGAAAGCCCTTGTAGGCTGTAAACATGTTTGTCTGGAGAGCTTAGGGCCCAACACTTCCACGTTTCATTGCAGCCAGGTTCCAGATCTGAGGCTGTTGCAAGGGCTTGTTTCCAGGTGGGTTCAGTTCTCTTGTTAACCTCCACTTTTTGTGGATTTCTGTAGATGTGCTTGAGCCTGGGCACACAGTGGTTTTAGGGCTAAGTTGGAGGCTCCCACAAACATCACATGTTATGGTGAAGTGTTAATAAGTCTCTCAGTTAAGGCAGTAAGAAATGCTGCAGCAAGTACTGCTGTAAACTCAGGATTACAATATCCACCTTGAAATGTCTTCATTAGCATTTGAAACTCTTAAAAAAGGGGGCTCTGCTGTTGCTTAGAACATGCACTTCACAGCAAAGCCTCCTTGCCCCTTCGTCCTTCAGCAGAGGTAAATGCTCTGTACAGCTGATGGTGTGGCTCCTCAGGGTGAGAACTAAGCATGAAACTGTGTTTTATGTGCTCTAAAATCCCAACCTGCCTCTACAAACATTTGGTCCAGAGCATCAGTCTTTCCCTGCCATGGCTAATGGGAATATTTGTCTGTTCTCCTCTGTCCCAGAGCAGTTTGATGGTGCTTTTGTGTTCTTTCAGGCCCAGAGTTTGTTGCTGCCCCAACTTCTGTTTATTCATCCAGTTTCACCACAGGGCAACAAAGCAGCACTGAGCCTTTTTGAAATTCTCCTCATAAACGACTGAAAACTCCCTGCAGGCCACATCCTCTTATTCTTTTTACTTACAAGTGTCATAATCATGATTTGTAAAAGTCATTTTGGTGAACACTTAGCCACAGTGAAACTGTCTGTCTGTTTTATTGAGACTGTTACTTCCCTGAGACAGGAACGCTGTTCTCTGCCTGGATGACACCAAACAGAAGGTCTGTGCTTGGCCACTGATCATGAACCACTTCATATTCCAGTAATTTCTCTTCTTTTTCTTTTTTTTTATTTTTTTTTCCCCCACAGCCCCAGGCTGTCCAAACTTCCTGGTTGGGTTTTGAAAGATGGAAGCACTTTTCTGGACAAGGTACTGTACTTTTGGAATTTTCTTGCCATGCCAAAAGCTCCGCTGACAGGTTAGGAGCAGGAACAATATTCCACACTGACTCATCCCAAAGGTTTCTGTGTGTCCCTTTTACCAGCCAGGGTGTCCTTGTAGAGCAGAAGGGTTTGAAACAAAATGCTAATAGCAACTCCAGGCTCTCAGTCTTCAGAGGTAGCCTAGATTGTAAAAAAATCCTCTTTAAAATGCAGAAGTCATCAGTATGAATATTTTTGTATTTCATGGAGCTCCATAAATAATAGTGCCTTGCCTTCTTAGAGTGCCTTTTATTCCCCAGTCTCACTTTTCTGACACTGAAGCTTCAGAGTGTGCTTATAAATGAGGTTGGTACTGTACCCTTTTTGAGGCAGGAGGACTCTGAGACAGTGAATGATTTGCCTGTGGGAGGTCCCTCAGAGAGGAAAAGCCTGTCTTTGGCCTCTGAAGTCAACATGTGTTCTGCTGCTGGACATAGCAGGGAGGATTTTATCTCCAGCCTCCTAATTCTAAGACACAGAACTTCCTCAGCTACATGAGAGACACAGAATTTCTCTTTTTTTCCCCCTCCTTCTTTTCATTACATCAGTTTTGTAGGCAGAATTTATCTGGGGCTTCAACCAAAACTTGGCACTGCAGCCTCCAGCTTGATCTGCCACGGGGGAACAATGAACACAAAAATATGTCAGAAGTTAGTAAAATAGGCAGGTACATTTCAGATGTGGGCAGCAATAGGTACCAGTGGAGAAAATACTGTTTTAATAGACTGTTCTCTGACTATGTGATCATTAAAGGAAACACTCATAATAGTTGGTTATGTAGGGGACTTTGAGGTGGACAAAATGGATTGATCTGATTTTTACAGGCAAGGGAGCTGAAGATCACAGATTAAAGACCTGATTTTTTTTCTTCTCATTGGAGACAAAAGAAACTGTCCAGGCAGCATTTGTGTTGGTAAAATAGTAACAGCTCTATTCAGAGCACTTGTTCTCTGGCAGTCACAGCCTGCAAAGGCTCAGGGACAAGGAATGGAGTTGCTCAGTTTGAAGTCCCTGGAATATGTTTCTCCTGAACCCCCAGCCTGTCAGGGTCGTTTTTTTATGGGATGTATTTCCATTTCTGGGGTGCTGCTGCTGCATTATGTGCTGGAGAGAAAGCTCCAAACTCGCCCAGTGCCGATGGAAATCATGTGTTAGAAATTCAAATGCAGCGTCTCTTCCCTTCACCTTGACCACTGTGACTGCCTGGAATGGTAAATTCCCTGCCCCCTGCTGGAAAAAGCCTAGGGAAGGAGTCAAAGGGGAGTGTTTCATCATGGGGGGTGGACACTCCTGTCCCAGTGACAGTTATAAAACTCCAGGCCTGGAGAGGCACTGAAATGTGCTGAGATCTCCTTTTAATCATTTTGAACTCCCTGGAGATGAGGTTGGGAGACTTCTGCCACGAGCTGTAATTGCTCATTCGTTATGAGTTGGCAGGTGCACTGTAATTATTAACAATTGGATTCAATCTTTAATTCTGTCACTCTGACTCTGGCTGAGACCCCTCGCTGTGGGACAAGGGAAGCATCCAGGAGAGGAGAGTGGATGGGAGATAACCCTGTGAGGTGTGTTAGGAGTGGAGTTGGGAATATTTTTGTTCCACACATAGCCCTGAGGATCGTGATTTTTTTTATGTGACAAAGATTTTGCGATGTCAGCCTTGGAAAAAGAGGAAGAAAACAGAGGGCTAGAGATCTGGTGGAGCTAAATCTCATAAAAAGTTCCATGTGGAGCATAGATCCCCAAAAGTTGCTTCATCAAATACTCTGAGAAAGGGGCTAAAAGTTGCATTCTGGTCCTAATAAGACAGAAGAGGTTGGATGTTGTTTGGAACCAAAACTGAATTCCAAACTTGCCTTCCAAACCACCCACCGATGAATCCCAGGGTGTCCTTCCTGACCTACCAAAGTGTTCCCTCTGTTGTCCCAACAAGAATCTGATCCCTTCAGACACCAGGCAGCCTCATCTGGCACGAAAACAATTTCAGCAGATCTGCCTACACCAAGAAGGGGCACAAACATTATGTAATGACAGGCTGGAAATTGCCTGTGATGAAGAAAACGTTTGGAAAGTGCAAAATGTGCTGCACTGGAGTAACACTGTGTTGTGTTTTTGTGTCTTCTCTGTTGGTGTGGTTTTCACAGGAGCTCAAGGAGTGCTCTGGCCACGTGTTTGTGGACTCAGTGCCTGAGTTCTGCTTGCCAGAGGTGAGTTTATTTTGCTGAAAATCTGGCTCTGTTCAATCACGTGGGAGAAAATCGCTAAATTATTATTATTACCAGATTATTGCTATTTAATTACTGCTCAGTAAATAATACTGCTAAAACTGGGAAAAGGATGGAAAGAGCCCTTTCCAACAGAGGTTTTGGGAGGTGTGGAAGGTGTCCTTGAGCAGATCAGTATCTCACACAAGAGTAAGACTTAACTGTCCCTTCTTGTGGGCCTTCCAAAGACAATCTGACTGAGCTGGGCTGGAGTACGACAGGATACATGTGCTGATCCAGATAAGGGCAGGGACTGAAGGCAAGGAATGCTGTTTGTCTCTAAGCATGGATTCAGGACCTGCCCAGTGGAGCTCCCTGGGGAGCTGAATGTGTGGTTAAGCCAGGTTTGGATTCTTCTGGGCTGCATTTCTGCCAGCAGCACATTTAGGTTAAAAACTTTTGCTGCCTTCTTTGCTGCCCATCTGTACCTCTCTGAGGGAAGAATTGTGCCTTCAAATCCTCTGACATGGCTGCAAGTGGCTGCTTCTCAAGCTGTTTTTTGCAAGAATTCGTGGACTTAAAAGCAAAAAAGGAAAGCAAGACTGTTGAAGATGTTTAGATTACCTGGGGTCACCTGACTGATCAGGGTAATACTCTGTGTAGGAGTCAAAAGCTGAGCAGAGAGAGATGGGGGTGAATGATGGGGAATGGTCTGGGAATAGAATCCTCTTCCCTCAGTGTGTTCAGACTGTGATAGCATCAGTTCTTTCATTTCATGTTGGGATGTTTTCTCTGCCATTCAAAGACAGACAGTTGCTTTTGGGCAGCAATTTTTTTCCCCCCCTTTGTGCCTGACCTTGTTGGCAGGAGGCACAAAACACTCCTGGAAGGTTGTTGTCAGCTTGCTGGGGTCCTGGCAATAGTGTTTCTGCGTGTGGATCCCACAAAACTCAGCTCTGGCAGTTCCTGACGCTTGTCATCTTGATTCTTCCAAGCAAGTTGGCAGCTCTGGTACTGCTTTTGGCAAGTGAGTCCAAGAGATTGTAACCATTCCATCCCACCTGGAATGGTGATAATCCAATCACACCAAAAAAAACCAACCCAAACCCCTAATAATTCAGGGTTCTTGTGATCTCTTTGCTTACTGTGCAATGGAAGGAATATGGGAAGCATCTGTATGTGTAGAAATTGCCATCCTGGCTCAGCTCTGGGGAAGGATGTGCTGGATTCCCTTTGGAATTGAGACCATGCACAGGAAGGATACTCTGCTGAGCTTTAGGATGCTTCAGCCAGGCTTTCTGGTTACTTTGTTGGGCTGGAAAACACCCACACGTGCAGCTCTAAATACCACAGACGGGGAGTCGCTGCTTCATTTTCCCCCTGTTATCACTGCATGGAGCTGCTTCCCAGCAGTCCATGTGACAGCAACCAGCTGCACTGGCCACCATTGCAGGGGCTTCAAAAATGGCCTCCCAGATGTTTTCCAAAGTTTCCAGGAGATGCCAAGACTCTGTGAGCACCAGGGAGAGAGCTGCTGGTGAGACCCAGCTCGCACCTCGAGCTCGCCTGCCTGCAGGAGGTTCAGGTGTCGTGGCCAAGCATCAGCATAGGGGAATGTTGCTGGTGTTTGGCAGCACAGGATAAGAAGGAGCTTGTGTGAAAGAGGCTTTGTCTTTCCCTTTGTCTCCTTCCACGCCACTTCTTTTGAAAAGAAGTGCAAAAAACTTTGAAACTTTGAAAAGAAGTGCAAAAAAGAACTGCAAAAACCGTCAGTGGGAGAGTCAGGGTCTCGCTTCCAGGAACACCATTGCCAAAGCAAGCCGAGATTTGGATCTAATCCAGCAGCCACAAGGTGCTAAAGGCTCTGGGCAGCAGAGAACACTCACACATGTCAGAGTGCAGGGTGCAGCCCTCTCTTTGCTTGGCAACCTTCTGCTCTCTCTCTCTTCACATTTCAAGAAACATTTTGAAACCTCTTCAGTTCAAAGGCACTTGGGTGAGATCGCCGCAAGTCCCAGGGAAGATTTGACTTTGTTTTGGTTTTGACACCCTTTTCATCCGTTCAGTAAATGCTTCTGGGATGCTGAGATGTGGGATGCTGAAGGTTGGAAAGTGGTGGTGTGTATCCTCCTGAGGGTTCACCTGGGCTGGAGTTCAGCTCAGGGCTGGAGCATCTCTGAGAGCCAGGCTGGGAGAGCTGGGGGACTCAGCCTGGAGAAGGGAAGGCTCCAGGGAGACCTCAGAACCCCTTCCAGAGTCTAAAGAGGCTCCAGGAGAGCTGGAGAGGGACTTGGGACAAGGGATGGAGGGACAGGACAAGGAGAAGTGGCTTCTCACTACCAGAGGGCAGGGATAGATGGGAGATTGGGAAGGAATTGTTGGTGGGGAGGCCCTGGCACAGTTTGCCCAGAGGAGCTGTGGCTGCCCCTGGTCCCTGGAAGTGTCCAAGGCCAGGTTGGACAGCGCTTGAAGCAACCTGGGCTAGTGGAAGGTGTCCCTGCCCGTGGCAGGGGGTGGAATGAGATGAGTTTTAAGGTCCCTTCCCACCCAAGCCACTCTAGAATTTGATTCTGGGCAAGCTGAAAACCGGTTGATGAAGGAACCAGGCCTTGGCAGGAGGAGGCCTCAGCAGATCCTTTGATCCCACACAGTGAGTGTGTCTCTGCCTGGAAGCTCAGCGAGATAAAAGGTGCCCTGTCAGGGATCCCAGGACGGTGTTTCACCTCCTGTTCCCAGCCTGGAGATCGTGGCTCCAACATTAGCTGTGATCATGGACTGAAACCATGAGTGCTTAGTGAGGAGTTAAGCAGCTTGTCACCAGAGCACTGTGTCAGCCCTCTGAAAAGCAGAGTGACCTACTTTCTTGCCTTTTTTATTCAAATTGCTGGACCAAGCCTTGTAATCAGATAATATGTGCTTGATGAGTGTTGAATTCCATTAGCTGCTCTATAATAACTGAGTTAGAGGTCATACATCTTGTAAATTCCTGACTTGACACCGTTTGTGTTATAGCACTACCAGTAAATATTTCTAATTAAAATTCTTTTAACAATGTGTGAAATCTTCTTTCGCTCTCAGAACCCTTGTCTAAACTGTCACATCAAACCAAATTGGACCCACCCAACTGTTTTGTTGCAGCCTATGAATGAGCTTCATCTCCTGCTGCAGAAAATGTGAATGATAAAGATGCCAAGAGTTTGCTTGGGGAAAAATAGAATTATTTTAAGTGTAGGAATAAATACGGTCTTCATTCATCTCTCTCACTCTCCTGGGGTGCAGTAGGATGTGCTGCATGAAAAAAAAAAAAAAGATGAGCCACCCTGCTAAATCAGTGCTGCAGAAGTTTTGGTGTCTGTTGCTCCCTAAGGAAGTGCACACATGAGTTCTTTGATAAAAGTGTAATCACTATGGTTCTCATAACAGCAGCCATTTCCTTGCATGAAACACAGACAAACCCAGCATATGGATTCTTTTTAGGGGGCTTTTTAAATAAATCTTGTTAATTTGAAGGAAATATTAATCTTTGCCACAGCTGAGACATGGCACGAGACAGACTTTTCTTTAATTTAAGCTGGTTACATTCCTGCACTATCAATTAAAAAAAAACAAAACCAGAATAAGAAGTTTTTCTACCATTGCTTGAACTGCATGAAAGGGTTACATGTTGCTTATCTCTCTGCTCTGTTTTCAGACTGAACTGCTTGACCTCTCCACGGTGGATGTGATCTTGATCTCCAACTATCACTGCATGATGGCACTGCCCTACATCACAGAGTACACAGGGTTCACTGGGACAGTCTACGCCACTGAGCCCACTGTTCAAATTGGCAGGTAAAGAGCCCCTTCATGTTCTCTGCTCCTCTTTCATCACTGCCCAGGAGAAGGTGTAAAGGACAACATGGGGAGAGCAGTGGTGTCTGATGTTCCCAAGAGGCTCTTAGGCAGGAGCTGAACTCCAGCCGAGTCCTTAGTGCTGCAGACTGTGTTAACTCGATGCTTCCCAACCTCTGGAACTGCCTTCAACTCTTTAGCAGGGGCTTTGTGTTGAGTCCAGGCAGTTGATGTGGGACAGTAGATCTGGAGTGGGCTGAGACACCTGGAGCAGCAATTGCCAAATGGCCAACTTGGAACCCCGTGGATTAGGGATTTCTCCTCTCTGCTCCCCTTAAACAAAAGGAGTCTTTTCAATAAGGAAACTGGAAAAGGTTGTCCAGAGAAGCTGTGGCTGCCCCTGAATCCCTGGAAGTGTCCAAGGCCAGGTTTGACGGGGTTTGGAGCAGCCTGGGCTAGTGGAAGGTGTCCCTGCCCATGGCAGGGGGTTGGAAGTCATGAGCTTTAAGATCCCTTCCATCCCAAACCATTCTAGGATTCTGTGATTCCATATAACCACACTGTCCTCCACTCCACGGAAGGGAATCTAAGCCGACTTCCCCTCAAATGACACTTGAGATACAAAAGCTCCGAACTCCAGAGACAAGCACTGAGAGAAATAGCAGCAACAGGAGACTGAAATAGGAAATCTGAGACCTGACAATGCAGTCAAACCCATAATAGTCACCAAAAATTGCCAAATTGTCTTATAAAATTGTCTTGTTGATTGTCAAAACCAAACCCTGCAGGTTTGTCCCTTGATGAGGCCTAACTGGCCTTGTGGTCTCTGCCTCCCTCCTGCAGAGCAGCTGCCTCGTTCAGTAATTAGAACCCAGGTTAGGCCCTGGTGTCTGGATGACTCTGTAAGCACCTTAGGGCAGGAATCTTTGGCTGTCAATGGTCCTGTGCAAACCTCCCAGGCCAGAGTAATTCTCCCATTGTGTGAAAACAAACAGAAACTGAAGGCCCTTGTAGGTGAAGGGAATTGTACGAATATGAACTAGTAGTAGTCCTCTGGGCTTGGTCCAGAGTTGAAGGTAACAGTCTCATGGGAGAGTGTACTGGTGAGGTTCTTCCCATTCCGAGTAATTCCAGATGCCACTCTGCAGGTAAATCTGTGACTTCCTCCCTTCAAGAGGAAGCCTGCACTCACCTACAGATGCAGTGAAATCTGCAGGGAGAATTTCTAATGCCTGACATGTTTCTCTGTCTCAGATGTGCACCGGTAGAGGAGGAGAGTTCCCTCTGTCGATGTGCTTGGCTTGTCCAGGTGATAAACAGGCACCAGCTAACGAGCTTTCCTCGTGTCTTTTGTCTCCTTCCATTCAACACGTTATTTCAGTAATGAAGAAATTATCTTGCACTTCCCAAATAACCCATAACCCAGAGGGGCAGATCCTGTGCTGTCACAACAGGGCAGATGGAATCGGGAACGCTCTGTGGAGGAACAGGGATGGTGTTGGTGGTCGGTAATCGCTGTGATGCCTCTGGTGGGGGAAAGAACCCCCTTTAAAACCGCCTGGTGGTGTCACAGTTTGGGGAGTGTTTTGGAAAGGTCTGGGACAAAGCTCTCTCTCTTGTGAGCTCTCTCTCTCTCTCCTGTGTGAGAGGCTGCAGGACTAATTTAGTGCCAATCACCTTTTCAGGCTGCTCATGGAAGAACTGGTGAATTCCATTGAACGCGTGCCAAAGGCTCAGTCTGCCTCCATGTGGAAGAACAAGGAGGTGCAGAGGTAAGGAACAAGTCACCGGGAAAGGTGGCTGTCCTAAAACACCAGCCAGAGTTTAGGATTCACTGGAACGAAGGGTCAACTCCCACCATTTGAGATTTCCAAGAAAAAGGTTCACTTGGGTCGGTTCTTCTGTAAATCATTTGCACATGGTTTGGCTTCCAGCCTCACCAGCTTGATTTAGTTTAGCTCCATGGTGGTGGATAAAACCAGTACATCTTTGTGTTAACATCCTAAAAAGTTGTTGAAATTAGCAGGCTATTTAAACTTAATTACATTGGATTGGAATAATTTAAATTTAAAATGATATTTCCATTCGTGTTCGCTGAAATACTAAGAAAGTCAGGACACAGCTGTTGGAGGTAACAGAGCAGTGTTACCTTTCTTCCCGTCTTCTTTTACACCTGAGCAGCAGAACTGAGATTTTTTGGCTTTCCAAAGCTTCAAACCAAATCAAAATCTGAATAAAAAAGGTTGTTTGGAAACACCACGTCCATTATTCCAGCTGTTCATCAAAACAAGGTGCTCAAAATTGAGGCCTTCTACGTCCAACAGTTTGCAAACCTGTGGAATCTAAAAGTTATCCACACAGTTTACTAATTGCAGATAATGCTTTCCTTGGAAATAAAAACAATTTTAGGTCCTCAACATGTTCCTTGGAGGAGACAGTTTTGTTTTTAGCACATTTTAAAGATAGGGTTGGTTGATTAGAAAGTTATTTTTAAAGGCTGCTTTGTGCATTTTTAATTGATCTCCCGTTTTCTACCACTAATTCTTAAGGTGGCTTGATTTAAAAGTCCCCTAAAAATGAATTATTTCGTACGTTGTAGAAGTGGTCTCGATATTTTCCAGTACCACAAAGCAAAGAAATGAAAAAATCCCGATTTCCATGTCTTTTAGCTGTATATTGTGTCCCCCTGCTGAGCTTAGGAGCAGCCTTTGCACTGTAACTTCTGAAGAAGGCAGGTCAAACTCAGGTCTAAAGCAAAACTAAAGACATTACAGTTTATCAGCATTCTCAGAATAGTGTTTTTTTTAATTTTGGGGTTTGCTGGCCTGACCAGCCCCACTCCTGCACTCCCAGGGTGTGGAGGGGGAGCACTGGAGCCGTTCTCCTCCTCCCACCGCGGCGTGTTTTGTATGCACGGTTTAAAGGAGGGTCGTATATCTTGGAGCTCACAGAATGTCACTCGCCTGGTGGTCGTATTTTAGGAAAAGTGCTGCCTGGCACTTTACATGCTGCTGACTGTTCCAGAGGCAAGCACAGAGAGGGAATCTTTGTTCTGATCCAGCTGCTGGAGGAGGCTGCAGTCTTTTTTTGTTGAAGTGGTATTTAAATTATATTTTCCTCTCTCGAATTTCTGAGGAAGTACCCGAAAATTGATGTTCTTCCCGGGTCCCACCATGTAGCTGTTCTGAAGGGGTGCCAGGGAGATACTGAACAGCTTTTTAGTATCAGAAATTTACTCTACCATGAGGCTACAAACCAGTGTTGTCCAGAGACAAATCTGAATTCCCTTTCCACCTTTGCTCTGAGTTCCCCCCTTCACCTCCCTGTGCTTCTGTAACACGGAGCTCCCACCCACCCCAGAGGGCCCACGGGGACTTAATGAATGTTTGCAAAGTGTTTTGAGGCTCCTGGTGACAAGTGTCAGGCAGGAGTGAATGGAACTGATTATTAGAGCATGTGAGCAAACCTCCCCTGCTCCACAGATCAGCACCTGGCTAATGGCACAGGCAGGGCTGGGCTGACATCCGTTAGTTAAGCAAATGTGATCCTTGAGGAATTGGGCTTTTTTTTTAATACTTGGCTGTTGCTAGGACAGAATACTTATTGCTTCTGAGTGTAACTTGAATTTCTCAGGCTGATCAATGCCCATTACTGCTTTACAGTTCTGCTGGTTCTACTCTGAACAGTTAGTATAGAACACAGAGTGTTGTCATCTCCATTAGATAAAGCACTGGAGCATTTTAAATGCAAACACTGTATAAAATATAATAAGTTCATTAGAGTGGTTTCCATTTTTCCATTATCAGATCCAGTCTGAACTAATAGCTTAGCCAGCTTTATTGCCAGTGGGTTTTATTTGAGATGAGCTCTGTACAGCCAGGATATCTTTCACACTGATTGGGATTCAGGGGGCAAAGAGGAAGTTTGCCTTATGAAAGGCACTTTGTTGACTTCTTGTCTGATGCTTTCTTATATCTTTCTGTAAAATATCTGAAACAGGCTGTTTCCTGAGGCTGAATGGGGGACAAGTTCTGATCTAGTTTGGTGCTGCATCCTCCTCTCCCTTCAAACAATTCTCTTTTTTTTATGTCATATCTTAAATGTCACCCTTTGCCTGGACCAGGAGGGACTGTCTGTGTGTGGATACCCAGTTAAAAAACCAAACCTCTCGAGTTTCTCCAGCCTAAATTTTGTGTCCCTGATGGTGCTGCTTCACAGTGCCCTCCTACCTGTGGCTGTCCCGGCATCTGCCCACACACATCTGGTTGTTGGGAGGTGATCCATAACAGGGTGTTGCCATGATTTTAGTAGATTTACTCCAGACTGTAAAAAATACCCTCTGGTAACTCTGTACACATTGTAAAGGTGGCTTTACAGATTTTAAAGGGTGACAGATTGAATCCAGCAGGGGCACATCTGAGGGACCAGCACCTCGTGGTCTCTGTGCCACTCACCCAGATGAAACCACTGGGGACTGGTGCCCACTGGTCCCTGCCAGGGATCAGAGCATTTTTACAGCATAGCCACAGAGTCAAGGCTGATAGAAACTTCCTTCAGTCACCAAGGACAATTCCCCACTTTCTCCATTACCTGGAGAAATATTCTCCTCTTCCCAGAAGAGAAGCTCCTGAAAGCATCCAACACTAAATGCCTCTTACGGTGGGTTAAAGGCTTTTACAGGCAATTTGCTTCAGTGCAGTGGTGGACAACTATCCACATTGTGTGGCCTTTTGTTGCTTGACTTCCCAAAAAAGACCTTGAAGGCTTTGTTTGTTTCCTGAAGCACAATGAGCTTTCAGCCAGCGTGTGCTGGAATTACAGTTATCGCTCCAGACCTGTGCAGTGGTCTTGGCAAGAGCTGCCCTTAATCCTTTCTTCAGTATCTTAAATTATGGAGGAGTTCACTGACCTAGTAGATATAACAATAAATTAAATTCCTTTAAACAAATTGATCAAAGAAACTTGACCAATTTCCATAAATCTTTGGAAATTGGTTTGAATTAGCCTTTGATTTAGCATTGGTTTAATATACCAAAAAAAAAATAAAATCCTATTCTTCTTACGCATTTGGCAGCTGTGCTGCTTCCTGCCTCAGTCCATGTTCCTAAGGAAGATTTATTTCCCAGGAGTTAGCCATCCCTCTTAGAGCCTGTGACATTATAGTTCACTTCTTCCCTTGACAACGCTGTCCAGCTCACTTGCAATGTCTGGGAGGGGCAGAATGGATGGATTTTACTTTGGTGTAAAACATCTTAAAGACTTCCGTGTAGGGGATTTCAAAGAGCTCTGCAGTGTCAGCTCGTGCATCCTTTGCCAGTGCACTGGGGGGGGTTGAAGGCAGGGAAGCTGAGCTGCAGGGACACGTGCTCTTGGAAGAGACCAGTGACAAAAATCAGAGCAGGGCCACCCCTGGTCGTGGTCTGGTACCTGATTTTAATCACAGGATTGTTTCAGATTATTAGGGTATTAGATTATTCACATGTTTTCAGATTATTAGGATGTGCAAAACAGACAGTGATCCAAGATCCCAGTCATCTCTGCCAGTGCTGGTGGTGCATTTCACATTGACATATCATTTTTCAGTGATGAAAACACCACAAGAGTTGTGATAACACCTCAGTCACAGCTCCTTCTTTGATGCAAGGGCTGGATAGAACAGCAACGAAGAGCTGAAGGACAGCAGTCCTTGGGGTGGGGTGGAATGGGCTGCTCCTCAGCAGGAGCCCTGAATTTGAAGCATATTGGAAGCCAAAAGAGTGAAGTGTAAGATCTGGAGAACAGAGGGGGGTGTAAGAAGTCCTCCAGGCCGCTCTGATGACGCCGGTGTGTGCAGGTTGCTGCCGGCGCCGCTGAAGGACGCGGTGGAGGTGTCCATGTGGAGGAAGTGCTACACCATGCCAGAAGTGAACGCAGCCCTCAGTAAGATCCAGCTCGTGGGATATTCCCAGAAAATTGTGAGTACCTCTAAAGCTGCCCTCAGGCCAACACCAACAACTTGTCTCCCGTCTTTTCCCTGGAAATGCCCTTCCTTTTCTCTTTCCCCTCCTGGTCCTGTGTAAGATCTGGTTACTGTAGCCTGGGAAAGCAAGACTGGATTATAAGGAGTGTCCCACAGTCTCTGCCTCCCAGGAATGGTTCCTGTGAGGTGAAATCAGAGAATATCCATTTGTTTCTCCTCTTCCTTGGGGAGGCCAATTTTAAGGCTGTGCACCTTCAAATTTGGAGTTGATGGCCGGCCCACTGAGAGCTGGGAGGATGCAGGGAATGGATGGATCCTCCCTGTAAAGCCACATCCCCTCCTGAGTTACCGTATCTCACTTCTGGGAATCTTTTGAGTGCTTCAGCCTCCACTTTCTTCCATGCTGTAAATTAGGGATTGTAAACAAAACCTAATGGTTCAACACAAACTGCAGAAACTCCTTTCCCAGAGCTCCCAGATAAACACTCATTGTCTGTAATGTTGTTGACTGTAATCCAGTGTAGTTTCCAGAATGAACAGAACCAACAATTCCATAGTCTGCAGATCCCTCGTGGTTTGCAGGCAGGATGTGGGCCGTGGTACCTGTTTTTTGTTGCTCAGGGCCATAAGAAACAAAAAAATGGGTTGAAGTAAGTTGTGGCTCCTCAGTATCCATGGGTTGTTACTCTTCGTCTTCAACCACCCTCACAGTGTGGATGCACCTCCTAATTTTAACTCTGTGCATCTGAGCCAATCATTCTTTTATAGTTACTGTGGAAAAAAACAAAACAAAACACATTTTATCTCCTCCCAAAGCTAACTTTCAAAATTATAACCAGACTTCGGAGCCTTGGGTTACACGCTCTGAGGGATGGAGGCCCTGCCTTGTTCTGCAAGGCATCCACATCTGTGCTGAGATAGTAGAAAAATCATTAGCATTGCAGGAATCAGGTGCTTGTTCCATTATTCAGGAGTCAGAAAGCAGATCACATTAGGGAGGTGTACATGGAGGCTTATTTTCCTCTCTCCAAACAAGGGTAACACATGGCTGTGTGCAGGTTTCTGATGGCACCTGGGAAGGAGACAAATGTCAGGCTGCTCCTGCTGAAACTAAACTGTGGATTGAGTTTGCAGGGTGGTGTTTCTAAATCACCAGTAGGCAGCATCTAAAAAGAAGTAAAGTTAGGAAGGGGGGGAGTCTGAGGTTAAGTTTGTTTTCCACAGTAAAAATTTGCAACCCAAGCAGAGTTTTTTATCAGTGGAGAAGTGCTTGTCCTTCCTTCTCTCCTGCTGGCCAATACCAATTTAATTTGACTAAAGGAGGATAGAGTTTTCAAAGATTTAAAGCCCCTACAAACTTTTTTAGTACAGCAAAAGCAGGCAGAGGACCAAGACCCTGGGTGATTCCTTCATTTTGAGGTATGGGTAAGTCTGAGCTCAGTTAGATGTCACGGGATTCACATGGAAAAGAGACTTGATGGAGGCTCTGCCTCAGGAAAAGCAGAACTGCTTTTAAAATTCACATCACTGATGACAAAATGACCTGTTTGGGGGCTCACCCAAGTGAATGTGTCTTGCTATGTGTTCCAGGAGCTGTTTGGTGCCGTGCAGGTCACCCCCCTGAGCTCAGGCTACGCTCTGGGAAGTTCCAACTGGATCATCCAGTCGCACTATGAAAAGGTTTCCTACGTGTCAGGATCTTCTCTACTGACAACCCACCCTCAGGTACAGCCCCTGACTTCTGTTAGTCCTCTTTAGAAGGAAATGTCTTTGCTAAAAACAAAAGAGGGGCTTCTTCCAGCTGGGATGTGGTTTAGGATAGAAGCCATCCTAAGGTAATTCTCTTTTCAGTGGCTGGGCTTAGTGGGCATTGATAAGACACACCCTGAAAAGGGACAGGTATCAATAGTTATGAGGGAAACATCACTAAAATTCTGTGTTATTGGTGACTTGATGTTCACTTATAGCTGTGAAATTCTCCTTAAACAGGAAATTTTCAACAGAGTTAAACAATAGACCATTAGTGAATTTTTTTGAAATCCATATTTCACCACCGAGTCTTCGCAGACAGTTCACAGACTGCTGCTATATCACTTCTGAAACATCCTTCCTTGGGAGAAATGATGGCTAACTGCCTGCCAACTCTTCCACCCTGCTCTGCTAAGGGCAAAGTCTTTATAGTCCTGTAGATGTAATTTCCAGTAAATTAATTCTCTCCAGATCCATAAATTCTTAGTGCAAAGAATGGCTCCAAGTTTGCGGGGCTGGGTGCTTCAGAAGTTGTCAAAATAGTTAAAAGCGTTATTAGCAGGAGGTATTTAAAAATAATTTCTAGCAAATGTGTCAGGTTGATGATCAGTAAGTGATTTCCCCCAAGGTGGGGATCTGCTGGAGTGCTTTGCTGCTGAGCATCCTTCACTTAAAAGCTTGTTCTCGGGAGCTGAGCAGCTGCAGAAGAGAAAGGATCCTTAATAGTCTGGCCATTCTTCAGCTGCACAAAATGTATCAGAGCCCCTAAATATCTTTCTCTCCTCAGCCTCTTTCCATCCTGGGTTGTGCTCTCCCATCCCCTCCTAGTGAAGGAGCAGCAATATTTGTCAAGGTGTAAAAGGAATATTTCCATGAGGAGAAACTTCTCTAAGAAGTAGTTTGGGAACTGAGAATGTTTTGCCTTTGTTGATGTGAAGTGGTGACTGAATTTATCAGGTCAGACTGGCCACGCTTCATCATCTTCCAAAGGTGAGCATTCCTCTGGAAACTCCTGGTAAAAGCCTTGTTTTTATGGAAATGAACTCCTGGTGGAAGGGATTGAACTGCCTGGGAAGAGCACTGCCCTTGAGCTGGGATCTGCACTCACTGCAACCTGCAGCAGAAGTGGCAGCATCAGACAGGGCAGTTTGAGCTTAGAAAGTACAGGAGAAGATGCTGGGAGGCTCCCTGAAACCCGAGGGATCTGCTCCATCAGGAGATGGAACCTGGATTATTCACTGCTGACAGTCCTGCTTGTCCCACCTGCTTCCCAGAGCCTCGTTTTTTAGCATCCAGTCTCTTACACTTTGCCTAATTTTACACTAACACATAGTTTGAAGGAACATTTTCCCAGATAATGAAAATCACATTCAGTTGGCACTTTTCCTGTTATTTACCACATCACAGACGTTACCAGAAATCAGCATTGTCTCGTATTTGCCCCCAGATGCTTTCTGAAGGCAGTGGGTCGCTTTTCTCCTGGGGTCCATCCCTGTGAACGCCAGCACAGGCTGCTCCAGCGTGGATTCTGTAATAACCAGTGGGTTTTGTGAGGTGCCAACCAGCTCTTCATCCCTCTGCTGTTTGACAGGCAACGTGTAATGATAACAACATCTTGAGTGGCACAGAGTCAGAACTGTGTTCAGCACATCAACGTTATTTGTCTGACCTGTTTCTCCCCAGAATGGTGGTGAGCACTTCATCCTGAAATCCCCAGTTTTTGAGCAGTGTGTGAAAACAGTCACTGCATTTTGTGTTAAAAGGGATATCCTTTAAGCATATCCAGGCCTTTTTTGAACAGCAGTAAAACCTGAGCACTTTTCCAGTGAGCTGGGAGTTAGGCCTGGCACCATTAATTGTTCCCTTTTCTGTCTTCTGGCAGATGGTTTCTGTTGAAATTTTGCCTCCCCCTCTCCTGAGGCTCGAATTGACACCATTGCCACTGAAGTGGAGAACAGGAGTTGACAGCACAGGTTCAGACGTGTCACTAAAAGCTTTTTAAGACATATTCTTTGCATTAACCCACAAAAATCAATGCAGGCCCTCTCAGTGCGATGGCATGTGAAATTATGTGGATCTAATATGGCCTAATCATTATGTACATTATCACAGGCTCATTCCATATTATTTTTTATTGCATTATTGGCATTTCATTTTCACGGACACGCTACGGAGAGTCAGAGATTGGGATAAATCTCACGTGTCAGGTCTGATCCTACCAGGAGGTGCACAGTGTAAACTTCTGTCAAAGTTGATGTGAAATTCCCCTGCTTGTTCAACAGAGCAGGGTCCTTCTCAACTGCTTCAGAATGGCTCTGGGAACTGTAATCAGGAGAATTAACCTCACAGTGGTCTTCAAGGTTCAGTAGAGGAAATGTCTTCATCAGTCTCTTCTGGCAGAAATCCTTCTGGTTAGTGAGGCTGCAGAGAGTATCTACTCTCTGTTTGCTAGTGGAGAGAAGTGGGTTTGAAATTTTCATTCTGCTTTAAGAAATTACCAGTGTAAAACACGTTAGTAAATAGACCTCAGTGAAAAAAGGGTGAAGCTTTTGGACTTTGATGATCCTTGGGTATTCCTTCCAACTCAGGGTAGTCTGTGATGCCATGATCCTATGATTCAGATTCATACCCAAAACTGAGAGCCTCGAGCCCAAAGGCCTTTGCTCATCTCACCTCTTCCCAAGAGAATCCACTGAAGGGTTGAGGAAAATGGTGCTGCCCCTGCAGAGCCCTGGAAATCAAAGCTGACACCTGGATTTGCAAAGGGAAGTAAGTTGGAAACTAGAGCAGCCAGAGCTCAGAATGCACGTGTCACACCTTCCTGACTCACTGCCACATCCTCAGCAAATTATGGCCTTTTCAGTGCTCAGCCCCTGAGGCCACGAACTGAGTAGACTCCAGGGAATACTTTGGGATGGATCCAGTTCCAATTCCGCTGTTTGTTTGGGCTCTGGGATGCAGGTAAACAGTTGTCCGTGTTTTTTTATTAACTCCAGTCAGGTTTCCACAGGTGGAGGAAAGTGAAGTCTGAGGTGTTTGTGGCTGTGTCTCTTCTGTCCTGCCCAGAGAAACCTGTGCTCTAACCTGCCCTTCCTCAGGTTGTTCCCCTGTGCTCTGTTCCAGCCCATGGACCAGGCTTCCCTTAAAAACAGTGACGTTCTCATCCTGACGGGTCTGACCCAAATCCCCACCGCCAACCCGGATGGAATGGTGGGAGAGTTCTGCAGCAACTTGGGTAGGTCACACAGACAAATCCTCTGCCTGTTTTATCATCTTATTCATGGCTTTGGGTGGGAAATAATTCTGAGATTCCTGGAATTGAGTAAGTTGTCCAGCTATAGCTGCTGGCATAAAACTACCTGTTTGGATTTTACGAGGTGCTCCTGATGTCATTAATGCAGTAAGTGCTTGGAGAGACACAAGTTGTACCTAAAATGTTTTGGAATGGAACAGGTATAATGAGATTTAATCATCTGCTGCTCCTGGTTTGCTAAGTGTGTCACTTGGCTGCCAACAGGCTACGTGTGGCCTGGGCTTTGGATATTGTTCCCAGCTGAAATATTACCATTTCCTTCCTGTGTATCAGCCAGCGTGAAAATCTTCACATGCTTTTTTTATGGCTTTCAGTTCTGAAAACAAGCACATCTGCTTCCCTTCTTACACCTGATTTTTAAATATATCAAAAGCCAACAGCACAATCTCTGTTTAAAAAAAAAACAAACTACCAAGATATATTTATAGACCCCCCAAAAATATAAAACCTAATCAGACGCTTTCACAGCTGGAAAAGCTGATAATTGCAAAGCTGTGATATCAGTGTGAATGACAGCATTTTCCAGCCTGTTTGGAATGTCACATCCAGTGCTGTTCTCTCCTTTTCTCCCCTTCCCCCACCTCAGTCCCTCTGTGCTCTCACCCTTCTTCCATCAAACCCCTTTCTCGTGTCTGCCCTGCTGGATCTTGCCTGAGATCTTCCCTTTATTTTAAATCCACTGCTTCTTGCAAGGAAAACAAAACAGTTTGTGATGGGAGGGTCCTTACAAAAGTTACCAAAAGACAAGACTAAATCAGACTGAATTCCTGGTCTAGTGGAAGGTTCCCTGCCCGTGGCAGGGGTTGGAACTGGGTGATCTTTAATGTCCCTTCCAGACCAAACCATTCAATGATTCTCCCAATAAAGCACATTTTGGCATTTTCTATGAGTGAGAATCAAGGGTTTTACCAAAGATCCTTCTGCCAACATCCTGGCTCCATCCAACAGGATCCATGAGCAGATACCTGGAGGAGAGTAGAACAGAATGAGATTAAAGGATACCTTCATAACCTTCAAGTGATTTTATTTCAGGAATGTCCTGAATCCGACATGGCTTTTGTGTAGTTAGTGAAGTTCAGTGCAGTTGTTCCACCTTCCTTCAAAGCTGTGTTAACTCCTAACACCTGTGACTTCCTTTCCTGAGTGCTGTGTGTTTTACATGTGTGTGTTCCACCTGTGATTTCATTGTTTTTAAGCACTGTTGGTGATTTTAATACCCTGTGATCAGCTTTGGTGACCTTGCTGTGGTAGATCCAGATGTGCTGCCCTTCTCTGTCCCTCCTGGACCTTTTTGGGGGGGGTCATGGTGGCATGATCACCTCCCATCATGCTGAGTAAACCATTTCATTTTAATTAATCTTTGCTAATTAAGATGCTTGTACAACTTAAAGTCTTAGAGATGCAGTTTGGCCACAGCAAAATCCAGGAGTTGAATGTGCATAAATAAACCCCGTTACAAGTGTTGGTACAGGTGGGTTTGTCTGCACAAGCTGTTCTGGTCGACAGAAACACTCTGAGCTATTTTAAGGGCTTTGCAGAAGGTCTTCAAGCTTTTGTCTTTAATGAGACAATCATTAAAAACCAAAGGAAACTCCGTGCTTAAAATAATGCCATTGGAAGAATCTGAAATTGGAATTGTATTAGCCAAAACACAGCAGTCTGAAGAAACCAATAATTCTATGTTAATACAGTGTTTGCATGATACCAGAAGCAGTTCCACATCTACCAACATCAGAGAAGAAAAAACAGGGAGTCAGTTTTCTTTCCAACATGTAAAAAAGTGAAAAAAGCAGTGAGTTGCAGGGAAAAACAAGAGTAGGCAAACTGAGCACAGTAGTTTTCATCTGTGTTTCCCATTTCCAAAACGTTCAGGGGAGAGCAGAAGCAGCTGAGAATTCACTTGGTAAAAGCTCTAAAGCAGAGCAACACTCACCAAAAACGTGTGTGATGAGGTAACAGCACGTTGGGGAGAAGGGTCCCGAAGCACGGAAAGGGAAGTGTGAAAATCTTGCACCTTGAGCTCTGTTCTCCTCCCAGCATGGGGAGTTGTAGAGGCTGATTCCCACCATTCCCAGGTCACATCCACGATTTCCTCTCCACCTGGTGTGTGCAGCACTGAAGCCACACCTTGTCCCGTCTCCAGATCCCTCTCAGTTTACCCCAAACCCCTCTTTTCCGTGCTCAGCACCAACATTCTGCAGCTCAAGGAGAGCAGTTGCATTTTCACATTGCCTTGGGCACCATCAGAAAACTGTCTGTGGGGACAGCCTGGGACATTTGGTGTGAGTGTGTGTTTAAATAAAGCAGGGGGAAAAAAAGCACAGTTTGCTTTTTAGGTGCCAACTTGACCTTGTGGTGGCAGCTGTTGGAAAAGCAAGGATCTCTTTGGGAGTTGTGAACTGAACAACTTGTGATGGAGCCACTGAAGGAGACTAAATTTGAAATGCTGAGATTATTATACAGCTTTTTATCAAGAGGGTGCATCCATCATTCCCAGAGATAAATTGGGCTTTAAACAGCTTTCAAATAGACGTGTCCTCTTACTGACAACTCCAGAAAGTTGTTGTAGTGGTGCAGGGAGCCAGACTGGACCTGCTGCTTGCTTGGAAAGAAATATGCTTGGAAAGGTTCTCATCCCTTAGGAGGAATAGGAATATTCACCAGGCCAGTTTTCAAGGGTGCATCCTGTGCCACCAGCAACATGGGATTTGATGGCATAGAACAGGAAAGAAGTTGCTGTGCAGGAGCAGTTGCAGCCAGGGAAGAGAAGAGTGAGGACATGTGAGAGGAACAGCCCTGCAGACCCCCAGTCAGTGCAGCAGGAGGGGCAGGAGGTGCTCCAGGGTCCCCTGCAGCCCAAGGTGCAGCCCATGGAGGAGAGGCAGCTGTGCCCCTGCAGCCCAGGGAGGTCCATGGAGGAGCAGAGACCCAACTGCAGCCCCTGGAGATCCCACACCACATCAGGGGGGTGCCTGAAGGAGGCTGTGACCTGTGGGAATCCCAGGCTGGAACAGCTCCTGGCAGGGCCTGTGTCCCCATGGAGAGAGGAGCCCACTCTGGAGCAGGTTTGGGACCCCACAGGGACCCCACACTGGAACAGCCTGTTCCTGAAGGACTGACCCCATGGAAGGGATCCCATACTGGAACAGCCTGTTCCTGAAGGGACTGACCCCATGGAAGGGACCCACATACTGGAACAGCCTGTTCCTGAGGGACTGACCCCATGGAAAGGGAACCCACACTGGAACAGCCTGTTCCTGAGGGACTGACCCCGTGGAAAGGGATCCCACACTGGAACAGCCTGTTCCTGAGGGACTGACCCCATGGAAGGGACCCCACACTGGAACAGCCTGTTCCTGAGGGGACTGATCCTATGGAAAGGGATCCCACACTGGAGCAGTTCAGGAAGAACTGCAGTCCCTGGGAAGGGCTCACGCTGGAGAAGTTCCTGGAGGACTGGCTCTCATGGGAAGGAGTAGGAAGAGTGGAGTAGGGAAGAGTGTGAGGAGCCCTCCCCTGAGGAGGAAGGAGCAGCTGAGGCAACGTGTGATGAACTGACCACAGTCCCCATTCCCTGCACCACTGGTGGGCAACAGATAGAGAAATCAGAATTGATGTTGAGCCCAAGAAGAAGAGAGAGGTGGGATGGGAGGGTGTTTTTTCAAGATTTGGTTTTATTTCTTATAACCCTACTCTGATTTGATTGGTAATAAACTGATTTTCCCAAGTCAAGTCCGTTTTGCCCACCATGGCAATCAGTGACTGATCCCTCCCTGTCTTTAACACTCCCCACAAGCCTTTTTGTTCCATTTTCTCCAGCCTGGGTCAACCCACCACAAAGGAATGAAACATTTTTTTGTGGCCTGGACACATTCTTTAACCTGCACTCTGATCCCAGCTGGTGTGTGCAGCATTCCTGCTGCTCTGGCTGGGGGTGCTTTCCTTTGCTCTCTGCAGAATTTTTGGGTGTGTAATGACACAATGCAGGTTCTGGTCCTGGAGCCAGAGCCTTGACTCCCACCCCCAGATGGCTTTGAAAATATTTTTCTTAATCTCCTCATTCCTCCCTTCACATCCTGTTTGCAGCAGGGATGGTTTAGACCTACCCATAATGTAACAGGTTGCTGGCGTGTTTGTTGGCATCTCCAGTCCTAGACAAATGTGAAATATTACCATTCATATTCACAAATATTTTGATGGTATTGTTAGTTTGGGACCTGGAGAAATAAATCCACTGCACTGCAGTTGTGTTATAAGTGATATAAAAGGTGCTTTTGACCACCTGCATGTCATAGGCACTGACTGCTGCAAGGAATAAAGCACGGGAAAGATCCCACTGGAGTCTTTGGATTTCCCTGGACTCCATAAAACTTTCAAACCAAAGTCTTCCCTGAGCATGTAGGTGGGGCAAAAAGACCCTTGATATGCTAAATTCATCCCCCAAATCTTGTCAAGGAATTGAAGTCAGGGAGGTGATCATGTTGGGATGTAACACCTGCGTTTTCAGGCTCTTCCACGGCTTTTTTGTGGGATGTTTGATGCATGGTGTTACTGCTGCTGCACTGCAGTTAACAGCTGTAGGTGGTTGTATCCCACATCCACAGGTGAAATCCTGGTGAGGCAGGAATTGCTCAGTGAGCTGGACAAAGTATTTCCCCTTTCCCAGAAAGAAATTCTGGGAAATGTGTAATTCCCCCTGCCAAGGGAACACGCTGTTTGCTCAGCCCTTGCTTTTGCTGTCGTGCTCAGATCTGCCTCCAGTTACAGAGTAAACCTATTTTTCTTTCCCCTTTTCCTCATTTTTATTCCAGTCCCATGCTGTCTGCAAGTTTTAAATTGTTCTTGTTAAGTGGAAAAGACAGAAACACTTAGTTTTTAAAAAGGGGGAACACTCCATCACCCATTTCTGGCTGAAATAACCACATCTTCAGCCTTCCACCTGAAAACTGAGCACAGAACAGTTCCCCACGTGTTGTGCCTTTGGCTGAGACCTGTGAGCTGCTACCCTTCCCCTCTGGTGGACAGCAAATAGGTGGGGCAGGGTTTATTTGGGCGGGGAGGTGGTTTGTGTCCCTCATTTATCCTCTTGTGCCGGTGCAAGGCCGCCCTCTCCTGTCAGGAGTTTTCCATGTGCTCAGGCTGTAGATGGAGTTCTAAGCCTGGAGGAGGCAGTAAATAAAATGTAATTAGTGATCAGAAGCGTTCGTCTACATTCATAATGTGCTCTGCTGGTTCGTGCTTCTTTTAGTGTAATACTTGGATTAAAGTATTTAAAAGTTTAAGTCTGAACCCTGTTCACTGATTTTTGTCATTCTTCTCCCCCGCAGCGATGACTGTCCGGAATGGAGGGAACGTGCTGGTTCCCTGTTATCCCTCTGGAGTGATCTACGACCTGCTGGAGTGCCTGTACCAGTACATTGACTCTGCAGGGCTCTCCAATGTCCCCTTTTATTTCATCTCACCTGTTGCCAACAGCTCCCTGGAGTTCTCCCAGATCTTTGCCGAGTGGTAGGTGCCCAGGGACAGCCCCACTTCTCACCCTCAGCCCTGGGAAATTGTTCCCTCTGCCTGACACGTTCTAGTTTACACTTGATTAGAATTGTGGGGGTGTTTCTGGAGTCACCTCAGGGGTGTGGGGGTGTAAGTAGATGTTCTATAATTAGGGAAAGATAATTTCCTATTGAATGGCCACACTCAAATAATCTCTGCTTTTTGGTGCTTGCACTGATGATCAAATGATGGAAAAAAAATAGGGCAGGAGTATCCTGGGCTGGATGAGGCAGAGCACTCAGGTCAGGAGAGGGGATCCTGCTCTGCTCAGCCCTGCTGAGGCCACACAGAAAGTGTTCTATCCCGTTCTGGGCTCCCCAGTACAAGAAGGAGATGGGAATTACTGGAGCAAGGCCAGCACAGGGCCACAGAGATGAGGAGCCTGGAGAGCAGAAGGCCCAGAGGGATCTTATCCACAAGGAGAAACACCTGAAGGGAAGAAATAAGGATGAGGGATCAGACTCTTCTCAGCAGGGCCCACTGACAGAACAAGAGGCACAAATTGAAACGTGAAATTCCAACAGGGTGATGGTTTAAACTGCCAGAGGGCAGGGTTAGATGGGAGATTGGGAAGGAATTCTGTACTAAAAGGGTGGGGAGGCCCTGGCACAGGTTGCCCAGAGCAGCTGTGGCTGCCCCTGGATCCCTGGAAGTGTCCAAGGCCGTGTTGGAGCAACCTGGGCTAGTGGAAGGTGTCCCTGCCCATGGCAGGGGGTTGGAACAAGATGAGCTTTAAGGCCCCTTCCAACCCAAACCATTCCATGGTTCTGTGATTCTGGGGAACTCTGCCACAGGTTGTGCAGACAGGACGTGGAGACTTCTCTGTGGAGACACCAAAACCCAACTGGACACAGTCCTGGGTGACCTGCTGTATGTGGGAATGCTTGAGCAGGGGTTTGGGCTGGATCCCAGAAGGTCCCTTCCAGCCTCCATCCACCATTCTGTGATTCTGAGCCTTGCAGAGGAGAGCCCAACCACCTGGAACTCTTTCCAAATCCTTACAAATGGAGACATGCTCTGCATTATTAGTTAGGTAGCTTCTCCTTCCTTTCTTCCTCTCCAGATATTTTAAGTCTGGAGGCCCTGGAGATCTTATGTGATTTGGTCCCTCAGGAGAATTGTAAAGAGGATTGAAATCTGGTGAATTTACATGGAATGGAGGCAGAGCTACAACCATCTGTAAAACAGAGGTTTGGGGGCAGAGCTGGGGTTGATATTCAGGAATTGCAGCCTTCAGTTCTACTCTTTAGTCAACTGAAGAAAATGTCCTGCTCTTAATACCTCTAAGACTTTATCAAAATTAGTTTGACCCGGGCTTATTGCTTTTTTAATAAAGTGAAAGTGTGAGGCAGGCAGTGCTTCCCAGAAAAAGCCACCAGGACAGTGTCACTGCAGGTAATTGTCCCCCAGACCTCTGACAAACAGCTTCTGGAATAGGATGAGTCAGGAGTCTGGGTAGAGCTCGTCAACAGCTCTCAGTATCTGTGTTTTAAAGATAAATGATGTAAAATAGCAGGTCCCTGTGAGTGTTGGGCCGTGGTGAGGGGCATTTTACCAACACTGCAGCTGCAAAAATAAAATGCACAGGAGAATTGGATTGTAAGGAACCAAAGGACCAAGTCACCGATGAGAAGTGGGACGAGGCAAGTGGAATTTTTCTGTGGACAGATGATTTGGCTTTGCAGAAACTGCTGAGGTCTGGATTGGGAAATGGGGATGTTGAGTTACAGATCTGCCTTCAGCAGCAAAGGATCTGTTACCCAGTGTGTACACAATTACCTTCAGCTGTCTCGCACCTTCTCTGCGTGATCTCACTGTGATTGAGTTGTTGTTCCATGTGGGTGTTGATCCTCTGACTAGAAAGACGGGAAGCAACAAAACAAATCAGTGATTTTGCACCTGATGCCAGAAATCACACGGTGGTTTTCTTAAAAAAAAAAAAAAAAACCAAAAAAAAAAGTGTGTCAGTAGATGGCAGCAGATGCTGCAGAATGTTCTGCACCTCTCACCCAGCTGGTTCCCTTCGCTTTTACAGGTTGTGTCATAACAAACAAACAAAGGTGTATCTTCCAGAACCTCCTTTTCCCCATGCTGAGGTAAGTAAACCCTGGTCTTGTTTAGTTTCTGCATCACAGTCCCGTGTGGCTGTTGCTTTTTGGGTGAACCCTTGCACAGCTCCTTAAGTTTTGTGTCGTTATTCACACAAGTGGTTTCCTTTTTCCTTTGCTTTCTGTGATGAATTTGGGAGCGCGGGGGAGGAAGGAATGATGGTGTTCCCTCAACTCCAAAATTCCCATCTTTATTTCAGTATCTCGTACATGGTTCGCTCCTTCCCCCTCAGAATGTGATCCATGGTTGGATGTTTGCTCTTATCCCACTGCAACCACGAGTGTTCCCACTGGGAACAGGCGGTTTTCCCACTGAAGTAAACGAGAGGCAGGTTGGGAAAAGTAGAAACAGGACTGAGAAATAATTTTAGCTAAATCCTACTCCATTTTGGGGCATGAAGAAAACTGTCTCTTGCAGTTGCTGTGGTCCAAACTGTTTCGTGAGATATCCAGGGTGGTCACTGCAGATTTAAGAGCCCAGAAATTAAATCCTTTCACAGACATGTTTGGGTTTGGTTTTTGGGTTTTTTTTCCATCTGAAATGTGTCATCCAGGGATTTGTTCTGGAAATTGCCATTACCCATCGTATCTATCATCTGTGGGGGCTTCAAAGGCGTTGTTGGAAGTAGGATCTGACCAGGAGCCCTCACTCTTTCCAGATGCTTGAACGTATTTCAAGCAGGATGTGCAGTGAATTATGTATAATCTGTTACCAGAAATAATGTGGACTGCAGGGCAAGCCACCTGCTCACCACTTGGTTTCTAACCAAAAAAATTCATTCCCGCTGATAAATCAATTCCAGAGGCTGAACCCTGAGAACAAGACTCTTTTCCCCTCCATCTTCTGCTTTCTGGGGTGTCCTTGTTGTTGCACAGTGTCATTGCTTTCACTGACAGCCCATATTGTAGTTCTCAGTATGGTCTGGAACTGGCAGATTGAAGTGAAAACCCATCCAAAAAAAGAGAAGCCAGACATGCAGCTGTCACAGACTGGATTAATTAACCCATCTTATATGATGGCCCTTTGTGTTTATAGAGTGATAACGGTGCCCTCTCCTTCTGAGGAGGTTTGATGTTCTCCAGAGGCCCGTTGAGGATGAGATTTTTAACCCAATGATTGTGTAGCTGTTGAAACAGCTTTGCAGAAACTGCTCTGGGCTTCGTGTGGAGATCAAGGTGATTGTGCAGGAAAGGGGATCACAGATCAGCTTAGGGGACCATCCACAAGATGTCCATGTCAGGGCCCCACTGCTCGGCACATGCCATTCCTTGTTAAATCTGCAAAATCTTGCAGCTGACGCTGTGTGTGCGCCTCACACAGTATAAAACATCTACATAACCACTTTTCCTGTGGCTCCACAACCTCCCAGTCAGGAGCTTTTGCTTTCCTGCCACTTCAGGGGGTTTTTAATGAGCATGAGAAGCAGACAGTGAGTGATGGTTTCCACTGGACAGGTTGTTAGTGGGGAATTGCTTTACTTTTCTCAGAGTAATGGTGGGTTGTGCAGTGTAACCTGCACAGAAATTGTCCATCATGAAAGGATGTGCTTTAACTGCTCATTTGTTGGAGGAAAATAGGGAATTACTCAGACATGTCTCTTAGTTCTTAGGAAGCATTAATAACATGCCTGGCATGATACATCAGAGAGAGACAGGCCAGGAAATAAGTTTCTAATTATCTCCAGAACAAGCCCAGCCCAGCACAATGCTGGTCCTGAAATCTGATGTTCCTCTTCAGTTGTATAAACAGCAAGATTTAAAAGCAAACAAGGCAAAAATTCCCCCAAATCCTTGTTGTGGTCTCTTGCAGCAATGAGTTCCAGCATAGTATAACAGAATAATTACTTCCTTTAATCAGCTGGGATTGTGTTTGGCATTTCACTTAACTATCCCTTTATTATTGTCACAAGAGGATAAATAAAAGCATCCTCATTGTCTCTACAATTACTATTTTTATTCTTCCTCACCCTCTGCAATGAGTTGTTTGAAGCTTTTTCCTTCTCTTTGCATGGAAATTTTCCAGGTTTATGGTTTCTGGTGCGTGGTTTGAGCTCATTCCTTGCTCTGCTGTGCTGAATAAAACCAGACACGTGTTCAGCTCTGCAGAGCACCCAAAACACTTCTCCCTCCTTGTTAGTCCCACTTTTATGTAGTAGAAGGTGCTCATCCATCTCCTCCTACACAGTCACTGGTGCAGTTTTCGAGGTGGAAATTTGTTTCCCAACATCCAGTCTGAATGAGCAGGGAATGCCCTTTCCCTCTGAGCCAGGAATGGGGGTTGAAGTGCCTCAGGTTTGTAGGGATGGATTTGGATATCAATTCCTGCAGAAATTAATCTGAGTGGAGTGCCCAGATTCTTGCACAGGCTGGTGAAGTCCCACCTGCAGCCTTTTAGCAGTGCACAAACCAAAACAAAAAGCTGCTTTTTAAAGGCATTTCTGAGGGGAGAGTTGCTGTGACTCTGTTGGAGGGACTTGGGATATGGGTCAGGACTCCTGTAAATCCCAGCCAGACATTTCCCAGAGGGAAAACCAGGCAAGTGGAGGAACAGTTGGGGAAGGGATGGGTGGCTCTGTGAGTGGCTCTGCCCTGTGCTGAAGTGGAAATGTAGTTTTTCACCAGCAGTTACTGTGGTGGGGAAGGGAGGAGAAGGAGCTCAGGCTGGGAAAATGTTGGAAGTTGCTGCAAAGTTAAAAACTGGAGATCCCAAATGTTTGTGGGTACAGCAGGCTGGAACTTTCACTTCCAAGCCCCTGCATCAGTTATATCCAAGGATCCACTGTCTATATAGGCTCAGATTTAAGCTCCACAATGCCTTGATGAAGTTCTTTGGACCACAGATCAGTAAATGTGCTCTGTTTAGAAATGTTATTCTGCTATTCCAGAACCAACTTGTGGCGTTTTATCAAATTCCACGTGGGAATGTTCCGTCCTAACACGGGCACAGCTGAGGAATTGGCCACCCCCTGGCCATTTTATCAGGAACCCTGGATTGTACCCTCTGCCCCATCCTTTTTTTGACTTTATAAATTAGTGGCTGAACTGTTCCAGTGAGGCAAAACGAGGAGCTTCCACTCCTTTTCCTCTCTGGTCGATCTTTCCACGGACAATTTCAGGCTCTGAGATAAGTGACTCCAGACTTCTGTAAATGCCTGCAACACTAAAATTTGAGAGGTAATTTATATTGATCAGTATTTGCCAGGGGAGGAAGAATTTGGATTTACTGTGCTCTTATTAAGGATTCTGTGAGCAACATCTAAGAGAAATGGCTGCAAAAAAAAAAGCTTTTTTTTTTTCTGAGTCAAAGATGAGCCAGAGTGGGAGTAATATTGATTCTGTGGTCTTAAATACCAGCATTTTTCTTCTTCTTCAGCTTTGATTCCCTCCTCCATAGACCAGTTCCTCTATAACACATTTCAATAAATACCTGGAATCAGGTGATTGTATAGTATTATAGTTTGCTTTATAGATCTATAGAGAATTGTAATATGAATAATTATTATATAGGAGTTGGACTCAATGATCCTTGTGGCTCCCTTCCCACTCTGGATATTCTGTGATAGAATTAGGCCCCTGTTAGTGTTGATTTTATGGAGGGAGTGAGGGAGGTGAAATAATAACTGTATCATTCCCTGATAGGAACCACATCTGTTCCAAATTCTGGCTACAGAGCACACACACACACACAGAGTAAATAGCAGCATGTTTTGGCTCACTTCAACAAAGGGTACACAAAGGCTCTGGAGATTTATCCTGTTTATAGCAGCAGTTGCTGACCCTGTAAATCAAGTCCACAGCTTTAAAGGAAAGCAGAACCATTTGGGATTTTCAGAAAAAAACCCACAGCCCTCAGTCTTGATTCAGTGCTTTGCCAGCCTCTGTCTCTTAAGCTCTCAGTCAACAGTGTGGTTCTTTCTGCACAAAGATGCTTTCTGAGTGTTGCTCCTGGGTTGCAGCTTGTGGAAATCCTGCCTGGCTCGTTGCTTTTGGCCCAGGTTGGAGATCTGACCGTGGCTGTTGTGCTGCACATATAAAAGAACCTGTACAAATCATCACACATTCAGTCCCCTTAATGATTTGTGAGTTTTTTTGTTGGGCCTGTCCTGCATTTCAGCCTCCTATATTTTTTGATGGGGTAATTAGGGAAGACTTTGCTGTAGACACACTGAAATCCACCAGCTGCTTTATCACTGGAGTGGACAGAACACCTCCAAAGTTGTTTTTGCAGCCTTTCACCCCTGCTCTGCCCACCTGTGAGAGCCAGAGATTGGGAGCTAAACTATAAGAGCTTCACTGGACTTCTCAGGAAAGATCTCTCAAGATAAAAAGGAAAGATAAAGAAATAAAATCATCACCAATGAGGCCCTGAAAACTGGATTAGAGACCCTGTGTCTCTTTTCCAAAGTGATAGGAGGGGATTTGAAGCTTCCACAGTGCTTTGAAGAGAATCCAGCTTTTATGTTGCTAAGCAGTGAACATTTGTGTAGGTACAGCAGGGAAATAAGCTGTTCAGTGCTTTTGTACATGGAGTGCTGCTCTCACATCTTCACAAAGATTTGAATGCTGCACACAAATATATGTATCATTTGAAGGAGCCTGTGAAAGAGGAAGAACACTTTGTGATTATCCAGGAGGGTGTTACATAAATAGTGGCTGTAGAAATGTCTTTCACTTACTTGTCTGCCTGTCCCTGGCAAAGTTTTGCCCTGGAATGTCACATAATCCCGTTTAATATTTGAAGTACAAATTGTCCCCTTCTCCCAGTTTACCCAAATTAAACTGCTTTTGCAACTTCAGTTATAAGATTTTTGTCTTCCCCCCCCCCAAAAAAACAAATCCCACAACCAAACCACAGAAAAGCTTCTTGGGGGTCATTTCCTACGAGTTCATTTAAATGCCAGGATTTTTATGGATTCCAACTCAGTTGGCCCATTGTCTGCTAAGCTGCAGTTTGTGTTACTGAAGCTAAGTTTAGATTCTAAATCCTGCCTGCCAGATGTGTTAATCAGAAATCTTTACCAGCCTTAATTGCAGGAATGTTTTTGAGATTCAGTGCGTATCAACTGCCACAGCAGTTGCTGGATGGTTTTTTTTCCCATCTCCCCCTTGAAGTTTAAATAGGAATTAGATACTACTTGTAAACTGCAGAGCAGTGTAGTCACCCTTTCTACATCCTCCATGATCCATGGAAATCACAGGCTGTGTCCACCTACAGAATGGTGTGATAACCTATAAGTTCTGGAGTGCTTTGTGGTGCAAGAGTTGATAAAAGACTTAGAGAAGCAGCAGAATTCTCAGTTTCCCTTCATTTCCAAGTAGGCACATTATCCTGAGTCACATCTGCCACAGCAAGAAATAACACAGAACCAGAGGAAATGGCCTTAAGCTGAAGGAGGGAATGTTTAGGTGGGATCTTGGGAAGGAATTCTTGGCTGGGAGGGTGGGGAGGTCCTGGCACAGGTGTGGACTCCCCACCCCTGGAAGTGTCCAAGGCCAGGTTGGAGCAACCTGGGACAGTGGGAGGTGTCCCTGCCCATGGCAGGGCGTGGAACTGGATGAGCTTTAAGGTCCTTTCCAACCCAAAGCATTCTGGGATTCCATGACCAGTCCAACCTCCTTTAACCACTGGCTCCCAAGGGAAGCCCCATTCCCTCATTCCCACTCTCTGTGTCTGTTCTCAGTTGCCCAGTGTGTGATTTCCTGGGTTAAATTACATGCCTTTTAAGAAAACTGCATTTACACTTATTTTCAGGCTGGAGATGGAAGCATAAACCTGCCAAGAAAAAAAACCTTCCAAATATTGCCTGAAAGTGCTTCCCAGGCTGGTTTATTAAATTGCTTTTAAGTTGCACCTTGTTTTGCAGATTGGAAAACAGTGGCAGGAGAAATAAAGCAAAACTCTTTGAAAAGTGCCTTGATAAATAAGCTCCATCTCAGTAAAGAAATCTGTTCCACCTGCAGAGCTGATTGCATTGTTTACAAGGCATCTTCTTGCTCTTAATTCATTTTTATCACTATTTTTCAGAGAGAGTTAAGGAAGGGCAAGTCAGTCTGTTGTTCCTCAGCAGATTTGACTTTGTGGGAACCCTTCAGACCAGCAAAGCTCATGGCAAACATTCTGCTGAAGGCACAAGTGCTGTGATGGAAGAAAAGCAGGTTAAACATGTGCCTGGAGCTCTTTGCAGACACGGCAAGGAGGAGCAAGGAGCTTATTTTGTAATTTGGCAGCTGAGCTCTCTGTTCACTCCAGGAAACTCAAAGCAAGGGAGCGTTTGCAGAGTTTCCTCTCAGTCACCAACTGCTGGTACCAAAGAAATGAGAGCAAGGACTTGGAGGCACCTGGCCCTGTGCTCTGACTTCCTTTTCATAACACATGGGACAGACACGACTAAATTCGTTGGGAAATCGAAGGGATGTGCAGGAAGGGACTCTGTGATGAGTTGGGAATAAACTGTAGGGTATTTACAGTCTCATGTAAATAAACACACAGAAGCACAAGAGGCCTGAAAGGTTGGTCACGTCTGGGGTTTTGTTCTCGTTTCAGCTCATTCAGACAAACAAATTGAAGCATTATCCCAGCATCCACGGGGACTTCAGCAATGACTTCAAGCAGCCCTGTGTTGTGTTCACTGGGCATCCCTCTCTGAGGTTTGGGGACGTGGTGCATTTCATGGAGTTGTGGGGAAAATCCAGCTTGAACACTGTCATCTTCACAGGTAAGTAAAATGGTGATCTCATTATCAAGTTAACAGTGGGTTGTGCTCTGGTTAAGTGTGGCCACATCCCCGGGGCTTTACTCATTTATTCTGGGGCAGAAGTTTCTGACTTCAGCAGCAGCTTATCTAAATTAAGACCCCAGGACTGACTGTGGGGCCAAATGTAATTATTGTGCCATTTAATTCTCTGTGGCCCTGCAGAGCCAACCTTTGCCTTGCAGAGCCCGTTCCTGCCACGTCTGAGCAAGAGCTTTGTTCTGCTCAGCAGTAAAATGCCTCCAGGAAATGAAGTTTGGAATTAAAAGCAGCTGGCTGCAAGTTAAACCCAGGCAAGACCTAATTGATGCTGGTCAGGAAGGAGAAACACTTCTTTTCCATATTCCACTGGAACCACAAACCTTTCCTCATCCCTTCTCCTGCCCTTTCATCAAAACCTCAGGCAGCCAGAGAGTGTTTCTGGAGAGGTTTCTGTCATCTCTGCTCTTTCAGAAGCGTGCCACCCCCCTCCAGACCTAGCAGTGGGGTCTGGGCTGTGTCTGCCTTTTGGCTGAGCTTCTCCTTGGATGCTTTTTGGCTGACAGACACCTTTGTAGCTGAAGCTGAAGGTGCAGCTCTGGCTGATACCTTGGCAGCTGTTTTTTCCCAATGCCTCAGAAGCACAACAGGTCTTTTATGTTCCTCCACTTGCCTCAGTCTGCTTCTAGTGCTGTCCCTGCTCCAAAATACTTCAAGGCCTTCCCCTCAGACCGATGTCCAGGTGTGTTTATACCTGATGTGCCATCCAAACAGAACCCACAGTGGGAGTTCTTCACATCTGAGAAGGCAAATAATAACCCTTTAGGCCATTGCTACTGAGTTTGTGTGTAACCAGCTCTGGTGTGATGGGAGGTGTGTTATATTTAACTTACCCAGGTAAAAAAGGTGTGGATTTGGGACTTGGACAAAGTAATGGGGAGGAAAATCCTGAGTAATGGATCAAACTGCTCCCACAGCAAGGGTGGGATGGAGTCCCACTGTTAAGCTTCTTTTCCTTCTCTTCTTAGTGAATAGGAAAACTGCTGGAAAGCACAAAATGTCCTGAAGCAAAGAGGGCTGGGAAAGGGTTATTTCCTTCCTTACTTTTTAAAGCAGGTCCCTTTGGCTCTTTCATAACGTTGACACCAAAAAGTGTCACAGTATCATGATACTGCTGAGCCAATTTGGGGAGATTAAAAGTGTGTAATTAGCCCTGTGCAAGGGGAAGGGAGACACGAGGGGGCTCCTGCTGGGCACTTAAATGTAGGCTCTGTTTGTGCTCAAGTGTTGTGTGGTCCCACAGCTGCTGCAGTGCCATCCCTCCTGACCCTGGAGGTAGTTCAGGAGACAAGCCCTAATTACTGTAATTGCTAAAATTGCAAAATAGATCTGCACTGTCTTGGAAAGAGTGAATTCTGCTCTGCCTGGGACTTCCGTTCAGAGTGCGCAGAGCCTTTGCTGGGGCGGGGATGGGGGGTGTGTCGTGAATCCCTGGGGAATCAGTGGCATTAATCATGTTCTGAGTGTGTCAGCCCAGGGTGTCAGAAAGTGGCCTTTAATGGCAGGAGCTCTTATTCTGTGTCCTCTTGAAGGGAGAGGCAGTTGACCTTTCTGTGTTAAATCCTCATCCTCTGCGGATCGAGGCACTCGAGCACTTCTGTCGGAGCCTGGCAGGTTGTTAAGGCACTGGAATGTCAGTCCTAACAACCTGTGGGTGCATCAGGTCATGGTCTTGGAGATTTTTTTTTTTCCCCGGCCTACACTTCAAATAAAGCACCACCAGTCGAGAGCTGCTTTGATTGGGTGACCTTGGAGTGCCCAGCGATTCCAGGTGGTTCGTTTCCTAAATTCACCTGTCCGTGGCTTTTGTGTCTGTCTGGAGGCACATCCACTGGGCAGGATGTTCCTACTTCCTTCTGACTCTCTAGTCCTACTTTTACCATTTAATATTTGAAGTACAAATTGTCCCTTCCTGCTAGTTTGCCCGAGTTAAACTACTTCTGCAACCTCAGTTTTAGGACTTCAGGCTTCCCTCAAAAAAAGATGCCTCAGCTGGAACAAAACCACGTGGTTTAGTGGTGGGCTTGGCAGTTGGACCCAGTGACCTTAGAGGTTTTTTCCAACCTAAGTTATTCTGTGATCTATGTCTGTAGAAATTCCCAGCAGACTAAATTCTTCTGTTCTGGGTAACTCCAGTGAAAATCCAAAGCATTGATAGCCAGTAAAATTACATTAATATTAAATTAATAAATGTTAATTTATTATTTTATTATTTTTCTGTTCTAAGCTAAAATCTGTGGTTATGAAAGAACCACTGAAGCAGTTGTGAGAGCAGATGATATTTTAGCTTTTCCTGTGAAAGACTCCTGGTTTCTGATGATTAAGACCTTTAAACCACAGGCCCTCCAGCATTGCTGATGATGACACTGCTTGTTCAGCCCACAGGAGCCAGGTAGTCTCCACCTTTCCGATCTGTGACGTAAAAAACAACTCCAAGAATATGGATTAAACCACCAGCAGCAGGACCCCAGCTGTGAGGGAGCTGTGGTGCTGCTCTGCTGGCTCCTGTCACTGCAAGCATTCCTGCTGGAGCACTATTGAGTAGATTATTGATTAAAAATATTGACCACCCCCGAGCCACAAAGAAATTCTGGAAGGAGACGTGGTACAAAGGAGCTGCTTCTGGCTCTGGTAACAGCAATGCCTTAAAAACCACCTCCCTGGGACATCTTAAAGCAGCTCAGTGCAGGGGAAGGTTTTATAACTCAGCAGTGAATCAGGAGTCTTGGGGAAAAGCTGGAACTGTGTCAGGAAAAGTCTCTGCGTGTCCTTGACAAGCACGGTTTGCCATCAGAGAGGGTGACTGGGGATTTGTGGTGGTTTCACAACAGCAGTTCCTGGGGGGTCACACGAGCTGAGATCAGCCCAAGGTGTGTTTTTCACATGTGAGGACTTTTCCAAGTCCTGGGTTAGAATTCCTTCGTTAGAATTTCTCGCTTTTCCAAGGCTCTTATTCTTCCTGTTAGTTGTTCAGAGACACTCTCTAGACTGGGTGCCATTTGGGATTCCCAGATCAAAAATCCACATCTGTACATTATCTGAGCCTCTGACCCAGGCATACTCAATCTGAGCAGGTGCTGCCTCAAATCTCCTCAGATGGGATGGAAAAACTTACTTCTCATAACTTTTTTAAACTTACCTTTTACAGTTTCAGTCACATCTCCAAGGGAGAAGCTCTGCCTGACTTCTTAAAGTTTCTATTTTCCCCTAATGACTTTTAAAATGTCTTCTGATTTAACCCTAATTGATCACTGATCATTCTTCAACTAGCTGCCTTCCCAGTACTCCTATTTTTAAACTTCTGCTCACTGCTGTTAAATTTAACTGACACTAAATGCCATTTTTACATGGATATTTTTAGGCTTTGTTTCACTGCCATCACCACATCTGCTTTTAACTAACGTGGCTCTTTGCCCAGTGCAATTTGTGTTTCGTGTTTGTGGATTCATGGCTTTTGGGTCGTCTTGTAAGATGTCCTCGTTAATATTTCTCACTTTAACATCCCAGGCAATTGCTTTTAACCTGGGAAAATGATCCCTTTAACAGCTCCAAACTTCTGTATCCTTGGCTGGCACCGTGTCCTGCTCTCGCAGGGTGAACTTCCCCCCATCACTCGCTGGTGCTCAGCCAGCTAGCAGATTGCTGGGAGAGCAATTAACTTGTCTTTATGTTGGATGTCCTGCTGGGGGCTGAGATTTGAAGATTTTTTTCCCTTGCTGTCTCCCGGAGAATTCCAGCCCTGTGCTCTGCTCAGGGTGATGGAAGAACATCTGGTTAAATCCAGAGTGGAGTCCCCGAATTTCAGTCTCCTTTAAGTTACCACAGAAATGCCTCGTGCTGTTCTCCAGCCAGGCTTGAACTGCACTTCACCCTGCAGGGTGTCCTCTGGTCCAGGGTAATCCAGCAGATAAGGTTTTCATGCACCCCTTTCCCTTTTTCCTGTTCTGTCCTTATCAATCTAATACCAGTTTTCCTTTTTCCAGCATTCCCTTTGTGTCCTCTATCCCACAATTGTTGGGTAGATGGTGATGGCATAAGCATTTCCACATCATTAGCTGGTGACCTCCAGAATCAAGAGGTTACTTGTACCCTTCACTGTGTCACCTGAGATCTGCATTTGTCATCCACCCCAAAAAAATAGTCTTTTTCTGTCATATTGTCAATGTTTTATTTCTCTCTGTGTGACTTAAATCCCATTCAGTGCCTGACTTTTCCCTGGCAAACCTCTAATCTGATTTTTAAAAGTCAGTAATGAAAGGCCCTGTGCTTTTCCAGCAGTCTAAACCTGGCACTTAGAAGAATAAATATATATATATATATATAACAATATGATCTCTATGCTGCATTTTTATCACAGCTGAAAACCAGGCTGCCATTTGGGTTACCTTATGAGACCCAAAATGACACATCTTGCCTTCTTTTACAGGACCTGATTAAAAAGAAGAGGTGGTGTTTTTGTCATGATTAAATCTGCTCTAAAAATCATGCAATAACGTGTTCAAATGGAATAGTGTTACTCTGTTGATTGATTAAGGGAAGACTAATTGTGGGCCTAATTTTCATCAAATTAATTGAAAATAATGAGGGGGGGAGGAGGAAGGGAAGAGAAATCTGTAACAGAATTAACATTGCTGAAACAACAACTCCTTTAATTCCTGAATGTGGAATCCGAGAGGGATTGGGCCGTGTTTGTTGTCAACAAACATTCAGTGTTTCCAACATTTCTCTCTCAGAACCTGATTTCTCTTACCTGGATGCTCTGGCTCCCTATCAGCCCTTGGCAATGAAATGTGTTTACTGTCCCATTGACACAAGGCTCAATTTTATTCAGGTGTCTAAATTGCTCAAAGAAGTCCAGGTAAGGATTTTTCTGTTGTCTTTTCCTGTGTTTCTTCACACACCTGAAATAAATAGATCAGCTGTGAACAACTCATATATTCAAACTTGTTTCTACTGAAATTTGCTTTCTGAGTCATGACATGATTAAAGTAATATCCAGATGTTTTTTTTCTGGCTGAGTTTTTCCCTGTGTTTTACCTTCAACTTGTTGAACTCAGAGATACTTCACACATGCTCTTCCAAACCTCCTGGATCGTTTTATCTCATTGTGTTCTGCCTTGTCACTGCACAACTGATATAGAATTGCCACAGCCTGCTTATGGATAAGCATCTTCTGCCATGTTTTCCTTGATGTGCTGTGCTGTCTCCAAAACACTTTGCAGAACCACTGTCTTCTCCTTTGCCTTCCTAAAATCCTGCAGCGATCCTTGTGGCCACCAGCCTGGTTCTGCTCTGTCAACATGTTGCTGACAGGTCAGGAAAACTCAAAAGAGTCGCTTGTTGTGCTGGTGTTTTTCACAGAACCACAGGATATGCCGAGCTGGAAGGGACCCGAAGGAATCATCCCCAAGAGTCACACCCTGTGCCTGAGAGTACCATCCAAACACTCCCTGAGCTCTGGCAGCCTTGGGGCTGTGCCCACTGCCCTGGAGAGCCTGTTCAGTGCCCAACCACCCTCTGGGGGAAGAACCTTTCCTGAGATCCAACCTGACCCTGCCCTAGCACAACTCCAGGCCATTCCCTGGGTGCTGTCCCTGGTCCCCACAGAGCAGAGCTCAGTCCTGCCCCTCCTCTGCCCCTCCCAAGGAAGTTGTAACTTGCAGTGAGGTCTCCCCTCAGCTGAACACACCAAGTGCCCTCCCTTGCATGTTGACACATCTCCGTGACAATTTGGGATGGCCCCCACCACTTCAACCCTTCGCTTCCAGTTTAGACCACAAGGATTTGGGCGAAAAAACCTACTCGGTCTCCTTATTTTTTCCCTCTCCTCGTGGCAACTGCTGATGTAGCAAAGTGGTGATTAGGGGACAACACAGCTCCTCCTGTTTTGCAGCCCCTGCACGTGGTGTGCCCGGAGCAGTACACGCAGCCCCCACCCACGCAGTCGCACCGCACGGACCTGATGGTGGATTGCCAGCCCCCGGCCATGTCCTACCGGCGCGCAGAGGTGCTCACCCTGCCCTACAAGCGCCGCTACGAGAAGATCGAGATCATGCCGGACGTGAGTGACTGCGCTGGGGAACAAGGAAGGGTGAGGGGGGTTGCTGCAAATCCCAGCTGCTGCTTCAGCAGCCCCTTTAGAAGTCATGGAATTAATTGTTGAAGGGTTGGAAAAGACCTTTCAGGTGGTCGGGTCTGTCAGTCAGTCAGCACCACCACTGTGGTCAGCACTGAAACGTGTCCTCAGGTGGCACCACGGCGCCAGGCAGCCCCTTCCAATGCCTGACCGCCCTTTCCATGCAGGAATTGTTCCCAATATCCAACCTAAACATCCCCTGGCACAGCTGGAGGCTGTTCCCTCTTATTCTGTCCCTTGTTCCCTGGGAGCAGAGCCCGACCCCCACCCCAGCTCCCCCTTCCTGTCAGGGAGTTGCAGAGCCAGAAGGTCCCCCCTGAGCCTCCTTTTCTCCAGGCTGAGCTCCCCCAGCTCCCTCAGCCGCTCCCTGCTGCTCCAGCCCCTTCCCAGCTCCGTTCCCTGCCCTGGACACGCTCCAGCCCCTCAGTGTCTCTCTTGTCTGAGGGACCCAGAACTGCCCCAGCAGTGGAGGTGCAGCCTCAGAACTAAAGATGTTTGTTCTGAAGATATTTGCAGCCTTTGACTAAAGGGATCTTGTTGTGGCTGGGCTTTACTGTTGACTGTGGTCATGTAAAGCTCATGCTGTCAAATGGAGGGCTAAGAAAGAAGCATTTTTGAGAGGTAATTTCACTGTGTCAGCTAATGGGAATTGAAAAAAAAAACCATTGACTGGCTGAGAGAGATGGGGCTGTTCAGCCTGGAAAGAGACCTTGGAGCCACTTCCAGAGCCTAAAGGGGCTCTAGGAGAGCTGGAGAGGGACTGGGGACAAGGGATGGAGGGACAGGACACAGGGAATGGCTTCCCACTGCCAGAGGGCAGGGACAGATGGGAGATTGGGAAGGGATTGCTGACTGGGAGGGTGGGGAGGGGCTGGGCTGGAATTCCCAGAGAAGCTGTGGCTGCCCCTGGATCCCTGGAAGTGTTCCAAGGCCAGGTTGGACGGGGCTTGGAGCAACCTGGGCTAGTGGAAGGTGTCCCTGCCCATGGCAGGGGATGGGATGGGATGATCTTCAAGGTCCCTTCCAACCCAAACCATTTGGGGATTCTGGGATTGTAGGCAAGCAAAAAATATGTTCAAGTGAATTGTCCTTTGCAAGGATATCACAATAATCAGTTCAAAGAGTGATCTCTGCAAGCCACAGGTGAGGCAGCCAGTCACCTGCAGCTTAAATGTGGGTGTGAATTAGTTTGAATTTAGTGCCCCAAGGTCATGGAAAGGATCCAAGGAATCTGGGACTTGGTAGCCAGGAGGTGTCTTTCCCCTTCCTCACAAATACCCTTCCCTGTGAGGAGCAGTGTTCAGCCATAAGTTAAAGAAGCAGTGAAAAGGCTCATTTGTATTCCAACAATTTCAACAAATGGTTAATTCCTACAGGCTGCACAAGTCCAGCAGGTTAATGGATTGCTTGTAGGCATCTAAAATGTGGATTACTTATCCCCACAACATCTATTAATGATTCATTAACCCCATAAATCAAATCCAAATGTACCCATCTCACAAAGGGTGACCCACATTCTGACAGACACGAGCTTAAAATATTTTTTTGACAATCCAATCAGCACAAATGTGTCCTTGGATCAAAGGTGGCAGTGGCTTTTTGCAAGCAGGTTTGGAAACTTGAACAGTGAGTCTACTTTTCATCAGAGAGCAGAGGCAGGAAGGACCCTGAGCTGAGCCAAATATGGAACACAGAACTGGGGCTCTGGTAACAAATCCCTCAGCCAGCCCACAACCCCCATTCCCACCAGCTCACACCAGCTCTGCTTGGAGACAAGGAGGAGGGGTTAATTAGAAAATATGCTGGGATGCAACTCCATCATGGCCTGGATATTCAATTGTTTGGGAAATTTGCATCTTTATTGGATCCTGTGAAACCTAAGACAAGTAAATTCTGGCTTCCGTTCACCAGCACAACCAAAACAAATCCTAGATTCAGCAGCCCGTGGCTCACCTCTTATTTAGAGTTCACTGAAGCTTTGGGTTTTCTGAAAATGAGCCCTTGTGAGCCTGTCCCTTGTGTCAGCACCCACACCAGCTCTTCCTGCACTTCCCAAAGCTGCTGGGGGAGAGGGATGCATCACAGGGAATGTGGTACTCACCAGCCTGGGAAAAGAAGCACAAAGGAAATGAGGGCTGGTTTCTCTTGCTTTCACTTTAACTTGTAGACTTTGAGCAGAAACCTGCACAGGCAGGTATTTTGTGGTTTTTTTAACCTTAAAACATCAAATTATATTCCCACAGAAGTCCTGATTTCCAAGCAGTCCGTGCTCGGGGAGAAGAAACATCTCCTGTAATTTTCCATGTCCAGGTGTTCTCCAGGCTGAGTGTTCAGCCCAGAGGAGAAAAAGCTCAGGAATGACCTTATCGTGGCTTGGAGGAGAGCTAGGGAGGGACTTGGGACAAGGGATGGAGGGACAGGACACAGGGAATGGCTTCCCACTGCCAGAGGGCAGGGAGAGATGGGAGATTGGGAAGGAATTCTTTACTGAAAGGGTGCTGAGCCCCTGGCACAGCTTGCCCAGAGAAGCTGTGGCTGCCCCTGGATCCCTGGAAGTGTCCAAGGCCAGGTTGGATGGGACTTGGAGCAAGCTTGGGCTAGTGGAAGGTGTCCCTGCCCATGGCAGGGGGTTGGAGCTGGATGATCTTTAAGGTCCCTTCCCACCCAAACCATTCCATGATTTTCCCTGGTTCCAAAGCTGCGCTGGACAACTCGTGTCAAAAGCTCCTTGGTCTGTAATGATGCTCCTGAAAAGACCCTCCTGAGAGCCAGGCTGTGGCTCAGGGCTCTTCATGGGATGCCATTCCCGAGCTCCAAGATTTGCAAATCACCCTCAAAGAGGGATCTTGCTGGTTCTTTTTCAGGGGAACTTACCTGGTCATGGCAAAAACTCGGTGTAACCTCCCTTTCTACTGAGGGGGTTGTGCAAGACAGGATTGGGGATGGGACATGAGGCTCCCTGGTGGGGAGTATCTGCTGCTTAATGTCCCTTTTTCAGTAGTTTATCCAGGAGGACTCTTTAGGGTTCCTGAATATGCAGGATTTTCTATTCTACAAGGAAAGGGCATTTGTTTCATTCAGGCTGCCACCAGCCCTGGTGTTCTGGGGAGGCTCAAGTGGCAACTGAAAAGGATATTTTATAGCTCCCAGCAAACCTTGCAATGGCTTCTTATTTGTCAAAACCCTGTCAGCCCAACATGGAATGATGAAATCCACCCTGGAAAAACAAGTCATTGCTAGATCTGCTCCAGGGTAAGGATTTGTGTGTGTATTTACACTCATAAAAGAAAGGCTGTTGCAGTGAAACCCTGATCAGGGCCCTCTCCTGAATCCACTTCCCAGAGGGGATGTGCTCAAACTTCTGTCTGGATTCTTCCAGTTTCTGGAAACCAAAGAGTTGGCTCAAGAGTGGCTTCAGTCAGTGCAGGCTGAGGGTTTGGTGGTGTGAAATTCCCTTTGCAAAACTGTTGCAGTGATTCAGATTCTGGCCTGTCAGACTAATGTAAATTTACTTTTACTGCTGGAGCTTGTCTACATTTCAATCACTTCACCGAGGAGCAAAGGCAGGTCAAGCAGGGCTGTTGTATGATAATGAGATTTACACTCACAGCAGCCTTTGTTTGGAGAGAGGTTTAAGCAGTCCCAAGGCATCAGGCTGGAATGGCTCTCAGAGGGACTGTGGAAACCTTTACACTTGAACTAATTTGTTCTTCTCAGCATCTGCCTTTCACTTGCAAAAAATAATAATAATAAAAAGAAAAGACCGCTTCCTGGAAATTGGTTAGGCATTGTCTGTTCACAGCACAACGATGGGAAAATGCAAAACACCTTCTGGAGCAAACAGATAAAATTAAACAGCAGTGTTTGAGCAAATAATGTGCCTGCAGTTTAATTACAGCTGAACAATGGTGCGGATCACACACTTCACTGAGGGCTCTGTGCTTTTAAAACACCCACTTTGCAAGTTCTTCAGGACACAGCCCAGGATGGGAGAGTGTGGATGGGCAAGGCACAGCCTGGCATGGAGCAAAACTGCAGAGAGAATGAAGGGAACAGCACTCGGCTCTGTTATAGTTATGGAGCTTTCTCTCCACCCTCCCATTCCCTTGCCCTGACTCCTCTTTTTATGCTTTCCTCTTACCTTTCTGACCTTTCCTTTGTGTTTCAGGGACTGAGGAGTTTTAATTTCTGACTTTCTACTGACCCTCAGCTTATTTTGGTGAGGCCAAAATAAGGGAGTCACCAGTGTTGCCCATAATCGGTGACATTATCCCATCTCCCGACCTCTCTGCTCCTTTGCCCCCTGGTGTCCCCGTGCCACAGTCTCACACAAATAAATGAAACACAACCTGCCTCTTTGCTCCTGCTGCTCATCCCTCCCTGCAGCCCCAGGCTCACTGAAGCCACTGTAAAACTGTCTGGGTCTCTCCTTTTTCCTGGCAGTTTGACCTCTCCTTTTGACATTCCAGCACAGCTGCTCTTGTCCCAGCTTTCACCTGCCTTTTCCTGGACAAAGGCAGCCCCAGTGCAGTCTGTTGTCCTCCTGATTTACGTCAGCGGTGTTCAGTGCAGTCAGCCCTCATTTTCTTCCCAAAATTGGCTCCCACCTCATTCCCAGGTCTCTTCCCTCCTGGCCATTCAGCCTCGGGGGATTCTGCTCCTTCCTCCCCTCTTCTGTGGGCTTGGAATGTGTTATCCTTCATTTCCTTTGCCTTTTTTTTTTTTTGCTGTCCCTTTTCCCTGGTTGGTCTTATCCACAGATTGTCCTATTTAGTTAGATGAAACTGGGATCTGCTTTCCTGCTCCCAGCCTGCCTTTGCCTGCCTGCATTAATGTCTAAATTTGTTTTTCCTTTCATTTTTGATGTCTGGCTTTAAAATAACACTCTTTTCCAGCCAGGCACTTACCTCTCTCTTCCCAACCAG